ATTTTCCTTTAAAATGGGTAATGGTTTCGTCCAGATTGGAAGATGGGCAAGTCCATTTTAAATATTTAGCAGGGTTAAAAATGTAATCAGCACCTGTAAAAAGTATTGTTCTTTGTTTAGCTAAAATTTGTACGAAAGGTTACAGCTTATATTTTTTTCTTCAATATATCTTACCTCGAACACCACGAACAAGAATAAATCGCCCTCATTTCATACACTGAACGTCAGGGGAAGTAACTGGGTTCACAACATTGAGTAGCAGACGCACCGGAAGTCACAAGTTTCCATGTCCTTAACTGGGTTCACAACATTGAGTAGCAGACACACCAGAAGTAATAAGTTTCCATGTCCTCTGCTTCCAGTGAAAACACTATTGATAACATGGTCGAAAAAATGTTACATTTTCTTAGCATTTTAAAAAAGATTAAAAGTTATTTGTTTAAATTACTAAAATGTTTTTAATGGCCCATAACTCAGCATAGTTATACTCATTTGATAAGAATATATTGTAAACTTAAGTTACTATTTTAAACAATCACTACTTTAAATCAAGTTAACTAAGTGGCATAATTAAATAAAAATCTATTTGTTTAGATTATGTTCCCCGTTACACAATCATAATAAATTCTGAGGTAGGGAGTTACATGCAAAACATATGCAAAACGAAGTGTTTTGCAAGAACAGACAACCAAGTGACTTAAATAGCCCTTACTTGTTTTCAAAATGTCGGGTTAAAAATGGTTCATAGACAATAATGATATGTCAACATAATTATTACATCCACAAAAAGTTTTTGTCCCTTAAAAATAAACAAGATATACATTACAAAGTTATGATTTCCTTTTTCAAAACCATAACCTCCTGAAAGCGAGTGGTAAGCCTTTGACACCAGTAGCCTGTAATTTCGGGCAGTCTGATATGGTGCATGATTGCGGCTGCGCGACGGCTGTCGTCTGCTAGGATTCTTCCCGCCATTTCCTGCTGTACGTCTGCTCAATAATCACATTCGGAACTGCCTCGGCTATTATCTACAATATTAACGAAGACTTACGGAAAGGGCCGAGTAGTTGCGATTGCAATAATCAATAAACATTTTTTTTACCATCAATCGAACTATAGTCTGAAATATATAGTGGCAATATTTTGAAATATACAATTTTATCTAGTTTTGTCTTTCAAAAGTAATCCAGTGATGCTTTCTTACGCCATCTGAAAACAAACGAAAACACAAAAGAACAATAATATGACACTACTAGTAGTCTAAAATGTCGCATTCTGCATCTAAAATAATCAGTATATAATTATTGTTAGAAATGTCGCATTCAACACCCAAATATCTTTATTAGGAATGTCACGTTCTAATTCTAAACAAAAATCAATATTAGTTTAATATAATGTCGCATTCTGACCTAGATATATATTAATATAATTATCAAAAATATCACATAATTCATATAAAACATCAATATAATTATAAATATGACGTGTTCAACATCTAAAAATTTAATATAATGATACAAAATGTCTCTAAATATATAGAATTAATATAACTATATGAAATGTAATTTTACAATGATGAATATACAATTCGACTAGTACAAACAAATCCACAATTTTCAATCGATCAGCAAAGAACCAAATGTCCTATCGACCACCAATTCCCCAACTCTTCAGAAATAACACCCGAAAGCATTAAAACCACCAAACAAACTATTTCGCCAAAGAAAAACTACCATAAACACAAAAATAACTCCCACAAAGACACAAACGAAAATACCGAACCCAAATCGAATAACCCCAATCACACACAAACTCCAAAAATTTTGAGAAAGAAACCAAAACAACAAAAATCGATCTAAACAATGCAAACAAAATATCGTCAATATGCATAAACATAAAACATAGTTTTCAATTTTGACAAATAAAATCTTCATTTCTAAAATATTTTTTTTAATTCTATCCAATTTCAGGTACCATTTACATGTATATATGTATATCAAATTTCTTATTATATCAAATTTTTCAAATGTAAATTGAACATAATAAGAATGGTGTTTTTACGTTGCATAATGTGTGCGCTGTCCTTGTTCCACAAGCATGGCCCGTATGATTACTAAGTTCATTGGTTCCTTTTGAAATTTCATCTTCTGAAACTGATCAAACTTACTAACTAAAATAACTTATTTCTAAAAAAAGCTACTTTCTATAAAGAATTAGTTTTACCTGAAGATTGCTGTCTATCTTGAACAACGGTACCTTGAACAACATCATTTCAGCACTATTGTCACACCCATGGACGTCCTCATCAACAGTACCATTGACAACAACATTGTCATCAACATGGCTATCAGTGTCAATTTTTTTGTTAAACATCATATGCTAATTATCAGTAATTTATATCCAAGTATTGTTTTTATATCATATGCCAATTATCAGTTATTCATATCCATGTTTTATTTTATACCATATGTCAATTATCCATGTTAATGTTTTGTTAAATATAATATCTTTACTTTATAAATAGTGTATTATCTGGTACTACAACATGTGAGTCTTCAGTAATGAAGGAAATAAAGATATGAGCCACATCATGACAAAACCAACATAATGGGTTTGCGACCAGCATGGATCCAGACCAGCCTGCGCATCAGCGCAGTCTGATCAGGATCCATGCTGTTCGCCATCAGTTTCTCTACTTGTATATTATATTATATTATATTTACATTTTTTCCTGTTAAAACAGTAACGATTTCCCGATTTTCATGTGTAATAATCTTACGTTTCGGCTATTAATAAGAAATAAAATAACTTACATTTTTGATTGATAATAAGTTCTTCGACGTCCTAAAATTCCAAACCTCCATAATTTCGTTTCGTCACATCCCTCTCCCAAACTTCAAGCAGATAAAGCTTACAGTAATGTGCATGAAAAATCACTCGACCACGAATGTTGAGCGCTCGGGGACATTCTTGTATAACCACTGAGTGACTACTAAACATATCCGTTAAAACACCAGCAAAATATTTTCCGAACACTTCTCAGTCACATGATGTAATTTGTTTACATAAAACTATTGTCCCCCGCATAAATTATTCGGTATTAATAGGATCTAAAGTTTACGTGATTGGCACACCATCACGTGACATGCACGTGACATTTTCGTCATTCGAGCATTAAGACGCCAGAAAAATGAAGCTAAAGAGACTTCAGCGAACAGGTTTTATAGTATCGCTAGACCTGTTCGCACAACGTCAAAATTAAAGCGACATAATTATAAAGTTATGGAAACCAGAACTAGAAAAATGGGAAGTGGCATCAATATAAAATATTGAAAGAAGCTGGCGCCTTAAAAGTAAAAACATATAATATTTAAGGTTGTTTAAGGATTTTAATTTATTCACTGAGGTCCTAAAACCTAAACACATAGAAAAAACATTCTTACATAGATCAACTGCATTGACACTTAAAAGATGAAAAAGGGATATACACTTAACAAATCTTATAAGTGTGCATGTATAAATGGTCTCATAAATAGGTAAATTTTGGTATGATCATCGTGAAATTTTCAATTAAAACAGTTGAGAGACATGACATTAAATTTCATGAAAACACAAATTTAATAAACATGCCCAATAAATGTGATATTACGTTATAGGCCAATGTGGCAAAATAAATTGATCATTAAAAATTATTTTCACCCTGACTGTTTATTTCAACCTGGCAGCGTTGTTGCATGGATGTGGCGCACTATTTTTCATAACATTGGGGTAAATTTATTTGTTCTTTAGACATTGATAGAAGCACATCGTATTAATCACATTGTTAAGCACACGGTCTTAATCGGCGCTGAGATAACCATTAACACATTACCGTTGTTAGTGACAACATTTTTCCTGAACTTCCCTGTGGAGTGCAACAGACCATCGCCAAGAAACGAACCAACATTTTTAAGACTAAATTCTATCTCAAATTTAAATGTACAGCGATAAACCAAATTGCCATATTGTTGTTAAAGTCAACGTAGGTGTACGTAGATTACAGCCAGCTGTTATATAATTTTGCGACATTTACTTTTTACGCACCATCACATTTATTGGGAATGTTTGTTAAATTTGTGTTTATTATGAAATTAAATAAATGGAATATCATACCATGTCCCTCAACTGTATTAATTGAAAATTCAAGCATGATAGGGTGAATATTGACACAGATTATAAGATATTTATACATCCACACAATCATATAAGATTTGTTAAGTGCATGCATATTTACTCAGTTATAAATTAGAAATACATGTACATTCTATTTTGCGCAATTTTTGTCCGATATAGGTTAAAAACTTTTCATATTTGGATCATTTAATGAGCTTTATATTACATTACATTTATATTTATGTATTAAAAGTCTCTGATTTTGAGCAATGAAAAATATTATTCGGGAAAACTGGAGAGAGCGAATGATTTGAAATCTGGCACACAAGTTGTGGTCCAGACTTTCATTAAATTGTAGATTCTAAAAAATCATTTCCAGTGTAGTATATTTTAATTTAGCCTTAAAAATAAATCGTGAGCTGTTTGACCTCTTAACTTACTTCTTTCCTAGCATCAAACCGTTGGAAAAAGATATCGTCCGTTCAAAAATATATCGAGGAGTCTTTAAAACTCTAATTAGTTGGACCAGGCTGGGACATAAGATATATTATGTCCCAGGACCAGGCAACACATTTTCAACGTAACAAATGTGAAAACATTTTTAAATGCGCACCTACTTATTTTTAAAAGAAAAATTACAGCACCAGACTGAGATAAACCATGGATCTCAATAAAATCTAATGTATTATATGGGACGGAAGATTCTAGGTCCCAGGTAGATTCTATTATAAATCTTAATGGCATGCAAGCAAAAAAAAATTAAAACAATTTACATCAATTTAAAAAGGTTGCAAAAGTCGCGCCTAATCATGCACGTGCGTCCGGAGGTAATGATCCGTAGTTTGACGGAAAGGGCCGAGACTGACGGAAACCAGGCGCAGCGTAATATTATCACGCGTGTGATAATTTCTCCACATATTCGACCTTGTCCACCGGTAAACAAATGTCTCGAGTCTAAGAAAGTTTCAGCAAACAAAGGTGATAAGATTTGGGGTCAACTTTTATTCAGTTTTAAACCAGTCATAATTTATTTGCCTTAAGATTTACAAAACATAATCTGATAATAGAAGTTTTAGGTCACTGCTCAATTCGTACCGCGATCAATTCGCTCCAAGTTAGTTCACAGACATTTGGGGTTTGGAGCTCAAAACGCCTTTAAAATCCAAATAAAATGCATATTTGTCAATCCCAGGTCATGTACTGATCATATATATCAAAAAATCTTAATATATGCCGTTTTGAAAAAAAAATCATATTTCAACAACTATAATAATACACATTTGGGGTTTGGAGCTCAAAACGCCTTTAAAATCCAAATAAAATGCATATTTGTCAATCCCAGGTCATGTACTGATCATATATATCAAAAAATCTTAATATATGCCGTTTTGAAAAAAAATCATATTTCAACAACAACTATAATAATACACAAGATAAAAATGTTCGCCGGAAAAAATCCGCACCCCTACCGTCATAATCACCATGTATTTTATTCCATTTCCAATATTTTCACATAATCCTTTGGTCCATCGACACAGAAGATATAATTCTTCACGATGATGGTCAATTTTAAACTTCAACGGTAATATAAACAACGCAACAGCCGAAATAAACATCAATATTATCGCCGTTTGTTTCCAACGACAAAATCTTTCGATAAATTCAATGGACCAGACGGCTATGAACGAAGCTATCCGATTATGTGGTTCCCAAACTTAAAAGCGCTGCGCATTTTGCACACGGCAAAGCTGGGGCGTAGCTCTGATCGCGTTGATATTTCGACTAGTCCAGTATGTAAGTCTCCTGAATAATGCATTGTTGAGTGAAGCTTTTACCTAGTAAATGGTAGAAAAATTAAATATTACTTCATGAAGAAAATGGCCTTTAAAGTTTTTCCATTCAGAAGTTGGTGCAGAAATGAGTTATAGATTTTTAAGGTTCACACTGCCTGGCGTTTAGGAAGAAGAGTGCAGTAAGTTGAGCAGAAGATTAGCCTTACCAATTATGAAGCTCATTCATGTTATATACATGTATATTACTTGTTTTGGTTTAAACATATTTATTTAAGCTCGATTGTGAAACAGGTTCTTGCAACTTATATTAATCACTTTTGAGTCCGCTTCCTGGAACTAACCAGTACTTGTGTCATATGAAAAAAGATGATTGTGACATGATTAGGGCTTGAACTCATGATCCCTGGGTTGAGAGGCAGACACCTTAACCACTATGCCACTGCTCCCCTTATTACATATTACTTGTTTTACAGATTTAACCAGGATGTAGACTGTCTAGCTGTCAAGTCCAACTCAAGAAATTTGTTTAACTGTAGCAGTTTTCACCAAAAAATTGGAAGTCATGCGGCTCATTCAAGTTAGATCTGTTGCCAGTTTACTGAGACAGTGCAGGAGAATCGATTTTCAATGGTAACTGAACTTTACCCTAATGTTTCATACCATTGATTTGATATTTCATCTTTCTTTTTTTTCTTTTTGAAAGTTAATGTATATACTCAGGGAAAAAGGGCTGTCCCAATAGGTAATGGACAACAGTGTTTAAATATGAAATTATTATAAATAAACATAAAAAAAAGATAACGGAAACAATCATATCAAAGCTAATGATATAAGGAATTTATAAATAAACATAGGACTTCTAAAAAAATTAACTGCTATTAATACGTAATTGCTGATCAAACATGCAAAAGACCAGCATTTTGTATAATTATACAGAACAAATTATAAGACTATCAGGTAATGCAATGTGGCCCACGCTGCAATGTCAAATACATATGTATGTTATGTGACATTATGTTAATGTTTCTCCTTAAAGGCTTTGCAAAGTATCACTTTTGCAAGGAATACAATTTTAATGTCAAGCCACCTGGTAGATATGTGAAGTGAATAATGAGCACCTGATTGTAGCGTTATATTTAAGAACCAGTCATATATTTCTTAGAATAAGTTTATATATTATATTTCCTTTGTAGTAAATTTTTATTTTGTGTTTCTAGTTTCTATTTTGCCACTTGAATACATTGTTATAATGTATAAGTGGTTTAGTTATTGACACAGAAATACTGGCGAATTTTAGGAATTGACAAAAATCACTAAAATTTCCACTAGTGTAAATATCAACCAAGCTGTCATTAAATTCTATCCATGCATGATTTGCTAATATTTCCTCATGTGAAATATCTGGAATTTTAACCTTTAAAGCCTTTGCCACCAGTATAGAGCCAGGCCAGCCTCAGTGCACATTCCTGCAGTCTGACCAGGCTCTAGACTGTTTGCTGACAAATTTTAAATATTCAAATTGATATTCCATAAATTGATAATGGACAGTCCAAAAATGAAAGTGGGCAAGTCCATTTTAAATATTCAGCATGTTCAGGGTTAAATTTGCTGACTTTTCGACATGTGGAAATATCCACTTATACAATATTGGCATCTGTTAATGAGAATATTTTGTTTATTTATTCAATAGTGCCTTTTGCCACCAGAACGTGCGGAGAGCAAGTGGCGAATCGTTCTATGATGTATTGGGTGTTTCTAAAAATGCAACAGATAAAGAAATAAGGATGGCTTTTCTTGAACTTAATAAAAAGGTTTGCTTTTCAGATTTCTTTTCATAATTTTACGGTCCTAATGAATGACTAGAGATTGGTCTGCACAGTTTGCTTAATAAAGAGAGTATCTGATTTGTTATACTGAGGTCTCTGGTTTGATCCACCACCATATATGTCCACCACTGAGGCAAAATTTCTCTGTGTCAATTGATCTGCATAAAAAACCACACCAACAATTAAGTTTTAGTTAGGTGCCAAGTGTGGAAAGTCATTTAACAAACTTTAGTAAGGCCCTAAGTGTGTAAAACTTCATTGTAAAAAGTACATGTTTATAAATAGTATATTCTATATCCTTAATTTGAGTTTGTTTTGAATTTCAAAATTAACTCTGGGTATCCCTGGCCTAGTGGTTAAGGTCGTTGACTTCAGACCACTTGCCTCTCATCGCTGTAAGTTCGAATGGCGACGAGGACTTTTGATTCTTTCATGTTAGGAAGCTATCCAGCTGGTTTATGGAATGTTAGTGGTTCTACACAGGTGCCAATTCATGCCAGAAATAATGCACAAAAGGACACCTGAGGTTTTCTTCCACCAGTAAAGCTGGAACATCGCCATATGACCTATACTGTGTCTGTGTGACGTAAAAACCCAATCAAACAAACAAACAAGATTTAATCTGGAAATTACATCAGTTTTAATTTTGACCTTTGGCCATTTTTCCTTTTTATTAGTCCCCTACCGGTTTAACCGGAGGGGACTTTAGGTTTACCGTCCGTCTGTCTGTCTGTCCATCCGTCCGTCTGTCTGTCAGTCTGTCAGTCCGTCAGTCCGTCCATCCACAAAACTGGATCCCGCGATAACGCAAAAAGTACTGAAAATATTTTTATGAAACTTGATATATGAATAGATGGCAGTATGGAGATTATGCACGTCTTTTTTTTTTTCTTCCTATGTTGAAAATTCTGGTTGCTATGGCAACAAATAGTCTGAAAATATGGCAAATTTAACACATAAACTTGATCCAGTGATAACTCAAAAAGTACTGAAAATATTTTTATGAAACTTGAAATATGGGTAGATGGCAGTCTGGAGATTATGCACATCTTTTTCTTTTCTTCCTATGTTGAAAATTCTGGTTGCTATGGCAACAAATAGCCTGAATTTCAAGATTTCTGATTTAAATTTTTCAGCTTTTTCACTATATGTTCTTTATTTCTTAAGGTGTTTACTTCAAACTTTAAATATAAGTTTCTGGTCATCAACCACATCATATGTGACAAGGTTTATAACTCTAGCACAAAAAATATCAGTAGTACCTCCCTTGAACTTAGATTTTTTAGGGGAAAAAATGTTGTCTTTTTTAAATAACTTCTTTATTTCCTAATGTATCTACTTCAAACTTCATATATATGTTTCTTATTATCACTCGACATTTTTGAGAAGGTTAAATACTCTAGCAAGACTATTTCCAGAATTATGTCCCCCTTGAACTTAGATTTTTTTTCGAGAAACTGGTATTTTCACTCCAACTTCTTCATTCCTTATAGGATTTACTTTAAAATCCCACATCGTAATAATATGACAAGGTTGTATAAACATAATTTCCTTACTAAGCATGGAAACTTAACACATTACTGTGATATAGACAAACTTATTTTATTATGTTTTGTGGTTGATATTTTCAAATACAGACTTCATTCTCAAATTCATTATAAATGGCAATACACAGGAGTGTATGACAATTAAAGAACTTTTTGAGGGACCGGTAGGGGACTACTGTATTGCCCTCAATACTATCAAATGCTTGTTTATATTTAATTATATTTTGTTTGATTTTTCTAAATCTACTCTATGTCACAGGTGAATCCTGATTCAGCCAACAAATCTGTGCAGGAAAAAGTTGGGAGAGTCAAAGATGCCTATAAGGTACTCTGTAATTCAACAACCAGAAATATATATGATGATAAATTGAAACAAGGGTTATTCATGGGAGCTGAAGTGGTACCTACTGCAATGAATTGGGATCCAAACCAGCCGAAGTATTATTACCTCCCAAAGTTTTATACAGACCCTATATTAAGGTATATATTCATTCATATATTAAATGAAATTAGAAGTATTCATGATACTTGCAGGCTGATCCCCCCCTCCCCCCCCCCCCCCCCCCCCAAAAAAAAAAAAAGAGTTTTGTCTAGGGTCTAACCTCCTACCCTATTTTTTTTAAACTTTCAACCTTTAATAGACACTTTGATTTATCAAACTATTTTTTTGTTTTGCAATATCTATATATTATAAAGTTTTGAAACAATATTTATATTTAAAAAAAAACAACGACAAAAAACCCCCCAAAAAAACAATTTTATCCTACCGTCTTAATTTTGCCTGAGACCAGAAACCAAACTTTTTTTTTGCCTGATGAATATTTCTGAATCAGTACTTAAAAAGTCTCTACTGGGATCCTTCGTATTACCGGATAAAATATGATGTTTTTTATCTGTAACTATTATTTAAAATAATAAAAAAGAATGGAATGTTACCCAAATAATTTTGGGTTCTTAATGCAAGTATACATTCCCTTATATCAAACATGAAATTAAATATTTGACCGTAGAAATGTGTCTTTAAAGTAGGGCATTATAAGAGGAAAAAATCGTATAAACAACTCAATTTACCGGACATTGTGTTTCACATTTTTTTGAAGTCGTGAATTGAAATTAATCTTTAAATAATTAGCAAGAAAACTACGACTATTGAATGGCAATGTTAAGATACTGGAAAAACCCAGTATGTCACTAAAATAGACATGGCAGCCATGCTTGTTACGAAGAGACCTATATAGAGGTGTAATTGAAATTAACACTATTAACTCAATTAACGTATTGATTCTTCATGATCCTTAAACGTATGACACATTTTGATATTCAAATGGAATTCTGTTCTTTCTCATACAGTGGCCTTTTGATCATCATGTAGCATGTTGCTAAAGTCATAAAGTCTATTTTTTTACAATTCATGTAGAGTTTCCTCCCATGGGCGTTACCCGTTTCCTTATATGTTTTTTATTTGCATTTCTTTGTTAAGACAACAACGAGATATTGTTTGAACAAAATTTAAAATTACTTTTTATCATTAAAATATGTTACGATTGTCTCCTGAGGTAAACGTTGAGAAGAATTAAAGTAAAACCTATCTGAAATAACCCATTAAGGGCCTCAATATTCGGGAATACGCAGAACAGATAATTTCCCCGCATGACCAGGTCATGGAATAACTAGTAAACAAAATGGTATGTAAGTAAATAAAGAACTGAATCAACAAATTTGCCTGAGAGTGGTTTTGTTGTTATTTACTTTGAAGTTGAAAGTGTGTGTACGATGATTCAGACCGGATGATTTTTGAATCGACACAAAAAATTAAGCCTTATTTGACAGGAATAGATTTTGTCCGGTAAACTGATTGTCCGGTAAACATGTATGATCCCAGTATGCATCCAGATTATCTTCACCGACTATATCTTAGAAAACATGTTAATTTAGGTGATGAAACTTTGTTGATGAAATGAAAACATTATTGATTTTATAAAACAATAGGGCAAAAAGAAAATGGTCTGCTACTTTCTCTTCTGTGTATGGGCCTTACAAAAGGACCAATTTCCAATTGCTAGAAATTCCTCCAAAATTTTGGGAAAATTTATGCAATGTAAAAAGAATTAAGATTTCTCTTTTATCACAACACATTAAAGCTCACCTGACCACTTTGTGGCCAATATGAATGTTTATGACTGCCTTTATAATGTACTGTACTTTATGAGTGTATCAACAATTTCTTTGGCTATCTGATACTTTGCAAAATTCACCTGCAATCCTCATTTTGGGTCAAAGGTCAAGGTCACAATTACTTTTGGTAATTTTTCAATTAAACTTGTTTTTCAATAACTTCAGTTATGAAATAACAAAAGTTGTTCATATTGAAACCATAACTGCCTTAGCATCTTTTTGGTTTTTGTATAGATATGTAAACAAACAAATTCAAAATATTAGCATCTTGGTAAAATGATATCTTATGGGATGTCTGTGGCCAAGTAGTTAAGGTCGTTGACTTCAAACCACTTGTCTCATACCGCTCTAGGTTCGAACCTTTGCAAGTGTCGTCTGATTCTTTCATGTGAGAATACTATTCAGCAAGCTAACGAAATGGAATGTTGGTGGTTCTACTTTAAGGTGCCTGTTTGTGCCTCAAAGGCACCTCAGGTTTACCTCCACCTGTAAAGCTGGAAAGTCACCATATGACCTATACTGTGTTGGTGCGACATAAACCCCAATTAAATTAAAAAAAAAATTGAAATCTTATATACAGTGGAACCTGTCTAATCCGAACTCGTACGGACCAGAAGAAAAGTTCGAATTAGAAAGGTTTCCGGATTAGAAGGTCTTTTACATATGAAAAATAGGGAATATGGAAATTCATGTGATATAAAGGTATGGGCATTTTCTTAAACCTTTCCGCAGATTAAATCAGTTGTTATATTCATTTTAGGAAGGAAGCAGAAAATGCATGGAATAAAGTTAGGGATGGAGTTGGTGATGGTATGTCGGACGAGGAGAAATATGACTCTGAAGTTTTATTGCCAATGTTTCGTCGGAATTTTAAATTTGCTTTAATTATGACATTTTTCATTAGTATGATGACTCTTTGGTATGCAATCACCACTTTACAATTGTAAGTATAACTGATTTATTCACAAGTATTTCTTGGTTTGTCTTTTTGTGCCCCCCCACCCCACTTTACGGGTGGGGGCATTTAGATTTACCCTTGTCCATCTGTCCGTTCTCATTTTGTGTTGCACATAGCTAAAAAAGTATTTGACCTAGAGTCATGAAACCTTACAGGAATGTTGCTCAGCATCGTGTGGATTTATTTTGTATTTTTAGAGTCATTGCCCCTGACTTAGTAAAAATTGAGAATTTTCATCTTGTATCGTACGTAACTCAAAAAGTATTTTACCTAGAGTCATGAAACCTTTTAGGAATGTTGCTCAGCATGTGAAGTTGTGCACCTGGGTATTTTGGTGTGGATCTATTTAGTATTTTTAGAATATTGCCCTTGACTTAGTAAAAATTTACAGTTTTCAACTTGTGTCACACATAACTCAAAATTTATTTGACCTAGAGTCAAGAAACTTTACAGGAATTTTGCTTGGCATGTGAAGTTGTGCACCTGGGGTTTGGCTTGTGGATTTATTTTGTTTTGTCAGAGTTATTATCCTTGACTTAGTAAATATTTGCAATTTTTAACTTGTGGCACACATAGCTCAAAAAGTATTAGACAAAGGATCATGAAACTTTACAGGAATGTTGATCCACATGTGAAGTTGTGGATCTGGGGTTTAGCTTGTGAATTTTTATGTTTTGTCAGAGTTATTGCCCTTGACTTATTGAAAATTTGTGGGGTGTCAGTGGCCGAGAGGTTAAGGTCGTTGAGTTCAAACCACTTGCCCCTCACCGCTGTGGGTTCGAATCCTGACAGGGACTTCGGATTCTTTCATGTGAGGAAGCTATCCAGCTAGCTTACGGAACGTTGGTGGTTCTTCTCTAACTCAGGTGCCCGTTCGTGCATGAAATAATGCACAGAAGGGCACTTGAGGTCTTCCTCCACCAGTAAAAGCTGGAACTTCGCGATATGACCTATACTGTGTCCATGTGACTTAAAACCCAAAACAAAACAAAAATCAAAGTGTTGAATGCACTGAATGCGACGGACATGCAACCGTAGAGACATTAAGGCTTTTTTAGAAAAAAACACACAAAAGATATAATTACAGAGAAAATTTGTTCCATAAAAGTTCGAGATTTGTAGAGCAATATATTTTTTAGGTGTCCCAGTCTGATATAATTCAGATTTTCTACTTTCAAGCAAAACAAGTCCAAATTTTTAAATACAGAATCAAATTTATGCCTAAAAACTCTGGTCAAACTTCTAAATCAGTGTCCTTATGGCTTATCGATTTATTCCGAGGAATGATATGTAAATAGAAAAACCTGTCAACAAAATATTTCTAAAATAAACGATGCAAATAAACTTCAAGTATAATACATAATACATGTGAGAATGTTAATTAGAATTGCTTCATGTGATATTATAGTGTGCATATAGACAATAAAATATAAGTTATTTGTATTTTTATTTCCCTTGGATATGTCTTAATTAAAAATATTTTGGTTAAAATCATCAGCAATTAATGGTGTATTTTTAGATTTTTTTTTTATTTACAAGGTAAATATGTAGAGGCCAGAGCACATCGTTTTTATTTTAATTTAAATGTCACTTAAGCACTGCAGTGTTTAGTTGTCCCTTTCAATTTCACACTAAATTCCATTTTCAACTTGTTTGCTTCTTACAATTGTATAAAATTTCTTAAAGTATTGCATGTTAACATCCGCTGATTTATTACATGTATAATATGTACTCCCTAATCGCATGTCTGAAAGTCAGCACAGGTGATGCAGAATCTATATTTAGAATAGGGTTATATCAAGGTCGAATGCTAGTATCATAATCTCATTAGCAGGTTAACATATATCGTGACCTAGAAAATTATGTAAGCAAAACACAAGAATCGAAAGTAGAACTGATATTATAACTTCCCCCAATAAAGATGACCATGAAAGACTACAGGGTGGTAAAGTGTTGAAAAACCCTCTTGTTACATGCATTTTCAAAATTAAATATTGATAATACTAATCTTTGTACTGTAGTCTTATTTATTAATAACTGCTGGATATTCAGCTTAACCCGCGGTATGATGCCACGAAAAGAGTTCTTCTTTTATAAATGCGTGAGTTATTCTAGAATTGCTGAGTCACAAAAAACTTTGGATCTGTTAATAAAAATGTTTTTTAATGGAGAAACATTTATTTCCTACTTATAATTTCTAGGAATTATTGAGCTTACTCCTTAGTTATAGCATAATTTGCTGTCCTACTTTTTCGACAGTGGTAAATCATTTCAGCAGTTTTCATTTTATTGCTATTTTAGGAACGTGATATAGAACAGAGGGAAACTCTATTTTCATTTTATTGCTATTTATGAAAGTGTGATTTAGAAAGGAGGGAAACTCTATTTTCATTTTATTGCTATTTTAGGTTTCGTGATGTAGAACGGAGGGAGGCTAAGAGAGTATAGTATGTGAGCTCTGATAGATGATCCAAAGTGTGCAGGAAAACAAGCAGTCTGGAAATATTTGTGCATCGTGAGGAAAAATTCATGCTGTGTAAACTCTTAATAGTTTTGAGTGTTCAAATTTACAATCACTCTATAATTTATTCAAGACAATGAAAGTGACTTGCGTGTAGAGATTGAATTAATAAGTGGAATTGAATTTGTGATACCTGTGCTAGCCTTAACTAAAATGTCACAGTTTCAGTTGATGTTGATTTATGAAAAGAATTGTGTTGAAGTTGTAAATAAATAAATTATGTGGTTAAAGAATGCCAAACATTTTAATATTTGAGCCGTGCCATGACAAAACCAACATAATGCGTTGGCGACCAGCATGGATCCAGACCAGCCTGCGCATCCTACTTGTTTCTCTACTTGTTATAGGGTTTGTAAGCGAACAGCATGGATCCTGATCAGACTGTGCGCAGACTGGTCTGGATCCATGCTGGTCGCAAACGTACGTTGGTTTTGTCGTGACGCGGCTCATTTTTAGCTCACCTGTCACAAAGTGACAGGGTGAGCTTTTGTGATCGCTTTTCGTCCGGCGTCTGTCCGTCCGTCGTCCGTCGGTCGTCCGTAAACTTTTACTTTAAATGACATCTCCTCATAAACCACTAAGCCAATTTCATCCAAACTTCACAGGAATGTTCCTTTGGTGGTCACCTTTAAAAATTGTTCAAAGAATTTAATTCCATGCAGAACTCTGGTTGCCATGGCAACCGAAAGAAAAAACTTTAAATATCTTCTTTTAAAAAACCATCAGAGCTAGAGCTTAGATATTTGGCATGAAACATCTTCTAGTGAGTGTCTACCAAGTTTGTTCAAATAAAAGCCCTGGGGTCAAAATTGGCCCCGCCCCAGGGGGTCATTGATTTTCCCTATATGCATATAGTAAAAACTAAAAAAATCTTCTTTTAAAGTACCCAAAGAGCTTGAGCTAAGATATTTAGCATGAAACATGTTCTAATGGGTGTCTACCAAGTTTGTTCAAATAAAAGCCCTGGGGTCAAAATTGGCCCCGCCCGGGGGGGTCATTGATTTTCCCTATATGCATATAGTAAAAACTTAAAAAATCTTCTTTTAAAGAACTCAAAGAGCTATTGCTAAGATATTGAGCATCAAACATGTTCTAATAGGTGTCTACCAAGTTTGTTCAAATAAAAGCCCTGGGGTCAAAATTGGCCCCGCCCCAGGGGGTCATTGATTTTCCCTATATGCATATAGTAAAAACTTAAAAAGTCTTCTTTTAAAGAACCCAAAGAGTTAGAGCAAAGATATTTAGCATGAAACATGTTCTAATAAGTGTCTACCAAGTTTGTTCAAATAAAAGCCCTGGGGTCAAAATTGGCCCCGCCCCGGGGGGTCATTGATTTTCCCTATATGCATATAGTAAAAACTTAAAAAGTCTTCTTTTAAAAAACCCAAAGAGCTAGAGCTAAGATATTTAGCATGAAACATGTTCTAATAGGTGTCTACCAAGTTTGTTCAAATAAAAGCCCTGGGGTCAAAATTGGCCCCGCCCCGGGGGGTCATTGATTTTCCCTATATGCATATAGTAAAAACTTAAAAAGTCTTCTTTTAAAGAACCCAAAGAGCTAGAGCTAAGATATTTAGCATGAAACATGTTCTAATGGGTGTCTACAAAGTTTGTTCAAATAAAAGCCCTGGGGTCAAAATTGGCCCCGCCCCAGGGGTGTCATTGTTTTTAACTATATGTGTATAGTAAAAACTTAAAAAAAATCTTCTTTTAAAAAGCCCAATGAGCTAGAGCTTAGATGTTTAGCATGAAACATCTTCTTATGGGTGTCTACCAAGTTTGTGCAAATAAGAGCCCTTGGGTTAAAATTGGCCCTGCAACGTTGTGGGGGGGGGGGGGGGGCCTATATACAGGTGAGCGACCTCAGGGCCATCATGGCCCTCTTGTTGTACATGTGGGTCAGTTACTGAATTACATTAAAGCTATTGAATTACATGAATACATGTATACGGTAATAAGAAATAATCAAATGTGGGAAATGGTGTAATAGAGATGATTTGCAAGCAAGCAAGTTAGGGTCAGTCCTGTAACAGGCGAAAGTCAAAAAAAAGTATACATTTGGCCATTATTTTCCTTTAATTTTGTAATTCACTTCACATGAATGATAAATGATTTGTGTGGCTTATTGAAATTTCTGTACATATCTGTCGATATTACCTGTAATGTTCAATTTATAAAAAGATAGCAGCAGTCTTTTCATATTTTTGGCAGATTTATATTTTTTCCTAATCATTTTCAAATATCAAAAGTTGGTCAACCACAATTACAATGTATGATTGCAATCTTTCGAAAAATGTATTCAGCTCAGCTCAACTTACCAATGAAAAAAATAAGAATTATGTTACTTGAACAATGGGGAGTTCTAATTTTAAGGCCAGGCACGGACAGGAAAATATGTTTGATGTTATTGTTAATTAATGTTGATGTTATTGTTAATTAATGTTGATGTTATTGTTAATTAATGTTACTGTTAATTAATGTTTTCCAAAAACTTCAACACTGCAGTCTTTTCCATAAACATGTCTTCATTACTGCAGTATTTGTACATGTATATGTAATATTGATTGTAAAATATGTTTTGTTATACATGTATATTGATTATTAATCATTGTATTGATTGAATAATTAAATATTTTGATTGCTTATAACTTTGTTATTATAATATTTGCATCAAAATTCATACATTACTTTTTTGGGGGGAGGCGGGACATTAAAGTTAAGTTAACTTAGGTTAATATCTTCTGTTTTAGAAGGATATTTTCATGTGTAATTAATGTTTTGAGATTATTATATTCAATTTGTGCACTTGTTTATGATACTATACTCGTTGGAAATACGATATAAGTTGAGTTCTGTTCTTCCTACCATTTATCTTGGTGTTATTTTACCCTGCAGATTGTAAGCAATATGGATATTCCATCAAGACTGTATTTTGGTTTTGCTCCAACAGTTTATAGAAATGAATTAACATGTACTCTACTTGAAGTCAAAGATTTGTATTAAAGGGACTCAACTGAGGTTTTTTGACATGACGAAACTGGAAATAATGTTTTTGAGAATAATGTTATAATTGATGAATGTCTAAACTAATAACTTGTGTGCAAAATTCCAAATCTTTCTCCAACTCTGTGTTTCCACAATAATAATTTTAATTGTGAAAAATGACCCAAAAATGAAAAATGTTGCTACACTTTTCACTCAAATCGGGCTTTAGCACAAAAATACGAATTATATTTCTGAGTATATTTCTTAGTTATTTTTTGCATGTATTCCTGTGTAAAGTGCTCCAGCTGATCTATGAAAGAAATTCAAATTTGATTTTTTTAAGGCGTTTGTTTTTTGGTTGAGTTCCTTAAAGCAAACTTTATGCAAATTTTGCTTACTGTGTTAACATAATGTAACTTATATAAGGACTATGAAGTGATAAAAGGAATAAAACAAAAACACATAAGTGGCAAAATTTTATTATTTCTATAATTATGCTTGATACTGGTCATCTTAACAAATTTCAAAAGAAGGTTATGGCCATAAAAGAACACCATAGAATAAATTCTTATGCTATACAATAATAACAAAGTAACAGTCACTGTATTTATCACTAGAAATCTATGTCATTTATGCCTTTAAAGTTAAATAATTTAGTATAAAGTCCTTGAAGTAGGTTTTGCTCTGCAGTTTATAAATTTAATTTTTTTATGAAAACTTTATTTGTTCTGTAACTATGACAGCCTGTCACTCCATGAAGAAAAACATTTTTGAAAACAACAATAACAAAAAACAACACCCACTGGTACTGGAACTGGTTTTGAATTTATGTCTTACATTTATTTTTGAACTTTCAACTATTAACACTTTCAACCTGGAAGCCAGAGCTAGGTCAGCCATTTTACTAGGCTTTACAATTCATGCTGCCTATCTAGGCAATACAGTTGGCTGTTCATTTTTTTTTCATTTTGATATTGAAAGCCCTTAGATTACTAATGGACTCACCTGCCTTAAATTTGGACTAGGCCACTGCACAATTCAGAAGGGTAATGATTATTACACAAAATATAAAATGCCAAAATCAAAATTTTTCAATGTTAATATAGATGACTTTTTGGAATAGCTACATGTAATTGACATTAACCTGTGCAAGTGACAGGCCTGTTTTGAAAGCATTTTTTTTTTAAACTAAGCATTATGAAAGATTTTACCCTTTATTTGCTGAAGCCAAAAGTTATTAGTCTTTGCCATCAGTACAGAGCCAGGCCATGATTTCCATCTGGGCAGTCTAACCAGGCTCGATTCTGTTGGTAGATCAATTTTCGTAGTTTTATATTAAACCTACTTAATTTTCAAATGAACTGTTCCAAATTCAAAGCTGGCAGAATCTATTAAAGAAGTGTAAGAGTTAAGGATATATACCTTTTTAATACTTTCTCAAAACTAAATTAAGAATTATGAATAAATTCAAGGAAATGGTAGTCATTATTTGAGCCGTGTCACGACAAAACCAACATAATGGCTTTGCGACCAGCATGGATTCAGACCAGCCTGCGCATCCGCGCAGTCTGATCAGGATCCATGCTGTTCGCTATCAGTTTCTCTACTTGTTATAGAGTTTGTAAGCGAACAGCATGGATCCTGATCAGACTGCGCAGATGCGCAGGCTGGTCTGGATCCATGCTGGTCGCAAACACATTATGTTGGTTTTGTCGTGACACGGCTCAATTTTTCTTCTCATTACTTGTGAGGAAATAAATTATTTTAAGTTATAATCCATATGACACTGTGTGAAGTAATATTACACAAGTATTACCTTAATTGTGACATGTTGTTCCAAGAAAGTCAATTTGACACAATATAACACTTCACATGACATGGTAAATATTTCTAAATAAAACAGCGGAGCTATAATTATTTCCTAAACAAAATATGATTGAAAAAATGACAGAAGTTTGTGTCACATTTAACTGAAATGTGACACTTTTACATGTGGCATTTTTAGGGAGTATCACCTCCAACCTTACCGATTACAATATCACCACAGAATTTTAAAAATTCTAAAGCATTATACATATATATGAAATCAATTTAACAATGTCAATAAATGATTGTGTAATATATAATAAATTTTTTGTACATTTTAAAGCATTGCCACCAGAAAATTCAAATTCACTATTTTCAGTATTGTCAAACCTGTTTTTAAAACAACCCTCAGATCTTAACCATAGGCAGTAAACCCGACACTCAACCTTGACCTGATAGAACCGAAAGTCATTTTCCCGTGCATTCTCACCAGGATTTTCCTGTGCATTCTCACCAGACTCTTAATTGTAGGGAGTTCAATTTTTTTGTGTTTTAATTTTAATCATCTAAAGTTTGAATGGTCGTTCTACTCGGGTGTCCGCTCTGCCTGATATAATGCTCGGAGGGTCATCTGAGGTTTTCCCCTACCAGTCATGCTGGTATTTTGCTATATGACAATTACAGTTTCGGCGTGACTTGAAACCCAACAATACAAATGACCTGTTCCAATTTCAAAGCATGGCAAATTCATGACACAAATCAAATTCAGCAGGTTAATGGTTAGGTACGAAAGACCTGTGGGGACATTTCAACTTCATGAATTCCCGATTTCATCTTCACAATTTTAACTTCACGTTTTCAACATACCGAATTCACGAGGTGAGCTTCTAGAACTCATATTTCAACTGCACGAATAAACAAATTTAGCTCCAAGAATTCACGACTTCCATTTCACAATTTTAGCTCCATGATTTTTATTTCACAAATTCACGAATTAAACTTCAGGAATTAAACTTTATTAATTCACGATTTCAAATTCACGAATTCGTGAAGTTGAAATCGTGAATTCGTGAAGCTGAAATCGTGAATTCATGAAGTTTAAATCATGAATTTATGACGTTTAAATCGTGAATTTATAAAGTTTAAATGTGCCTACGGTCTTTCGTAATTAAGACCAGCATTTTAGTTTCCCTTTTGATCATTTAAAGTGTACACATAACCTTACTAAAAACCTGCCAATAACGGCCTACTACCATAGATGGTCTTGTCAGGCAGGTAGACTGTATTCTAAATGTCTACTTTTCGTCAGGATAAATTAATCCACTGTACTAATGCACTAAGCACAATTTCATATCGTGAACTACTGTAACATATGCTTAAATGTAATTTATTGTAAATGGTAAATGATTTTCATTATCAAGCATTCCAAAAACTGGAAATATTGTCAGAACATATTTATTCACACACAATTCTCTAAATTCCTTGTCAGAATAATTTTGTCATCAGTGCATACGTCCGAAGATTTATTTGATTTATTAAACGGTAAACATGCACTGTGCACAAAGTACAGTAAAATTGTCGTCTCGAGGCTTGAAAGTAATATATTTAATAGCGCCACAGATATATGTTTGCTTGTGCGGACGAAAACTGAAAATATAAACTTTATAAACTAGATATAGATTTGTCACCGACGTTACACAACACTGTCAAATTTTCTTTAAGATATATACCGCATATTTCACTATTATATATCCTTGGACAACACCAGATCACAAGCATCGTTACATTAACCTTGACATCAATGTAACAAGTTTCTGTCTTAAGATAAAAGTATGGATGCAAGTTCACTGAAATAGTTACCTAGACATGCCCATTGCAAAATGTCTGCAATATTAAGTTTCTGGCATGAAATATTCCCGATCACAACGGACACTGTGGCATTGGCGTAATTGCGAGTACACATGTGTTGTTATTTTAATATTTACTAAGATAAAATGTTTCCAGATCACTTTTCACTGTAAAATATAAGTGACGTCAGATTTATCTAACATTTGCGAAGAAATGAAATGAACGATGTTGATTTTCCTTCCGACAATTCCATTGTCATAACGCTCCAACGTCAATAGGCACAAAACAGCCATAATTGTTGCAATGGCATTGCAAGGACAGCTACACGAATGTCTTTTTCTATCTCCAACTGAAGAGCTGAATGTTGTTTTTGACAAAATACAGTTTTAAAATATCACTTATTCAACAATGTTGTTGTCTTAAATATTTAACTGTAATATAATACTAAATGCCTTTAAACACTAGGTATCTCTTAAATACTGGTCAAATGGATTCTGCCCTGTTCTCTTTGGGTGCGATGGCAGCTTGATACTGATATTTCCTGAAAATAAAATAAAGATTAAACTATAAACACTATAATTATGTTATAACTCTCCTGCATTTCGTAAATTGACTAGTCCAATTCCATTTTTTGGAACTGTCTATTATCAATTTAGGGATATCAAGTTAAATTTCAAAGATAATCGGTTAACAGTTTAGAGCTGGTCCGGACAATAAGCAGGCTTTGAGGAAATATCTTCTTTCACGAAGGATCGTCAATTCTTTTTAACATTTCATTTGTAACACAATATATAGACATACAGTCTGTAACAATATCTGGCATTAAAAGGGAAACACATTTTACTGAAACAGTACAGAAATAGCTTATTAAATTTGCTTTCAGTAGTGGTTTTTGAAAATGAAAAAGACGCACGTGTTATTCCCATGCAATCGACCCATTCTTGCTTTGAAACTTTCTTATTTCCATCCTCATCACAAAAACGCACGAATTTGCGAGCACATTTTCTCGTCGCCTTCTTTTGTGCACTCTTCAACGTTTCTCGGAAAATTTCCAACTCTGAATTTTCCAAATCCTGTAGAAAAAAAACAAGCAAACAAACAAACTGACTTTTTGTCTAAAACTGGTTATTAGAAATTCGCGTTTCTATCAATAAGAACCGGACGTTTAGAACGGACGCTTCTATCTATTAGAAAAGGTCGTTTTCATACATTGTTTATTAGTAAAAGGTGTATCTATCTATTAGAAAACGGCGTTTCTATCTATTCCATATACATGTATAAGAAAGGGGCGTTTCTATCTATTAGATACGGGCATTTTCATATATTAGAAAATGCCGTTTCTATCTTTTAGAAATGGGCGCTTCTGTCTATTAGAAATGGGTGTTTCTTTATATTAGAAATGGGCGCTAAATGGGCGCTTCTATCTATTTGAAAAGGGTTGGTTTAGGGTGTGTGAAGATCAAATGAACAGTGTGTTTAGGACAATGAATTGAGCCGCGCCATGACAAAACCAACATAATGAGTTTGCGAACATCATGAATCCAGACCAGCATCCGCGCAGGCGGATGCGCAGGCTGGTCTGGATCCATGCTGGTCGCAAACCCATTATGTTGGTTTTGTCGTGACGCGGCTCAAATCTGATTTTCACACAACATTGAAAACAAGGAAACTTTTTGAAACAAGAGGGAGAAATTAATTACCTGATTTTTGTTGGTGTCCAAAACGTTAAATTTCCAGTGGACCGCACGTTCGTGTACTGTTTGGTTAGGGTCTACAACCAAAGCACTGGAAAATACACAATACTGTTTAATAAAACTGCAAACGTGCTTTCTTTGACAGGCTGATTGTCACTAAATAGAACTAAAATTCAAATATTGACAGTAAATTAGCCGAAAACAATAGTTTGTTAGCTTAGATTGTTATAACATATGGACGGAGGGCAAACATGTTCCCGTGGTGAGCCGGTAAAGGACCTAAAATCCCTTAAAATAAAATATACAAAAAAAACCAAAACAACAACATCAAAAACCACAACAAAGACACCATCGGTTTAATACAGTTTCTAAAGTACAATCAAAATATCTTTAGAACTTAACCGTGTCCGTAGTTTTTACAACGGTGTATTTTTTATGCTGTATTGCTTACATGGAGCCACGACCGATTACTCTTGTATGGCTCATTTGTATCTTGTTATTGATAATTCCCTTCTCGGCATAATTGTAAAATAAGTTTAGATATGAAATATGCTCACCTGTGATCAGTTCTGTTGTTGAGTGCATACTGGGCCATCTCCTGGGTCAGTGTGGCGAGAAGATCAGCCAGGAAGTTCTGTTTCTCTGCGTATGAACATCCTATGGAGACAGATCCTGAATGGACGTCATTTTGTCAAAACATTTAAGCCGCGCCACGACAAAACCAACATAATGCGTTTGCGACCAGCATGGATCCAGACCAGCCTGCGCATCCGCGCAGTCTGATCAGGATCCATGCTGTTCGCTTACAAACCCTATTACAAGTAGAGAAACTGATAGCGAACGGCATGGATCCTGATCAGACTGCGCGGATGCGCAGGCTGGTCTTGATCCATGCTGGTCGCAAACGCACTATGTTGGTTTTGTCATGACGCGGCTCAATTTAAAGCAAGCATGTATGAAATATTTTATAAATAATTATGCTTTATTTACAGATATCACTAAGTAACAATTTGATACATACTGTTTGTAGCATTAAAATCGAAATGTTTCAAGAATATTTTATGTAAAGGGGAGCACTGAGGATTTTTTAAAATGACGGGACATGAAATATTATTTGAGATTTATGTGAGGTTAATGTACTTTTTGATGAAGGTCTAACTCAATAAATTTTCAGATTATTTGCTCATTCCGTTTTTTTTTTTTTTTTTTTTTTTGTAAAATGAATAGTCTTCATGTAATTGTGTAAAATGGCCCCACAAACGAGCTAAGTATCGAGCAAAAATACGATGTTCAATTTAATTCTGAATATAGTACTATTATGTTTTACATATACATGTATTTCAGTTTTAGGCCAAGTTGGTCTATTCAAGAAACTTAAAATTTCATTTTTTAATGCGTTTGCACCTCAGAGGAGGGCAACAGAATGAGTTGCTGTCCCTTATCACTTACCATCACAAATATGCAACTCTGACCAGAGATTGCAAACAACGGAAAAAGCGAAAAAATGAAGTCGATAATATTAGCAATTAAAATGCTAGATTGCTTATTGCCAATTTAACCATAATTTTAATTATTCCAGAACAAAATATTGCATTCAATTGCAAGTCCGTCTCTTTAAATGCATTTGATTTACACTACACACAAAAACAAATGTTGCGGCATGGCTTAGTGGCTAAGACATCGGATTAACAATATAAGGATCGATATCTTCGTGGGTTCAAACCCTGTCACGGACAAGCTGTTGTTTTCTTCAGTAAGAAATTTTACACTCATGGTTATAGCTTCTATTAAAATAAATTCTGTATTAACTTAGCCAAATATTTCGTGGGTAGATTATCAATTATAACTTCCAAATCGGTCGGATGCATTGTCGGCTAAAAAAAATTTGTTAAATTGTATTATTTATTTCTGAAGACACAGACGACTTTAAACTTGCAACTTTTGGTTAAGACTGCATTGTAGATCAATTGGATGTCGTGTTTAACCCTTTACCTCATATATACGCGAAACAACGCACACATGTTTTCGTTTGAGAAATGTTGCTTAAAAAAGTGAGCACTTTTTCGGCGCCGCCCCCCATCCAAAAGATACATCAGGGGGTTGCCAGAAGGGGGATGTGCCCCTTCTGTTTGGGGGGTTTGAAGGGGGGGGGGCGGAGTCCCCCTCATCGCCAAGAAAATTTTGGACTTGTGAGAGGCTTAAAATGACCCCAGGTCGATCATAAGGTAACGTGTAACCAACGCTGAAAAGCCTTTGACTCTATCTCAATCCCTTGAGAAGTTGCAGCACTTTGAAATAAATTTTGATGGAAAAAATCGAGGCAAAATAGTGATTTTTGGCAATTTTGAGATGTCCCCTCGTTGCCATGGTAACAGGAAATTTAAGACTGAGCATGTCGTTACAAAGGCAATGGTCCAGTCAACATTTGTGCCAAGTTTGATTAGTATTGAAGCATTTTTCATAGTTTCATAGCAGTTTGAACTTGTAAGAGGAGGCTTTTCAGTGAAAATGGCCATTTTTCACAATATGCTCATGGGGGAAAGGGTTAAGATACAAGAAGAAAATGAAGTTGACTTTTCTACTGTGTAGAACCACCGACCTTCCGTGAGCTAGCAGGATATCTTCATCACAAAAAAGAATCCAAAGTTCGGGGTTCGGACCATCAGCAGTGAAGGGCAAGGGATTTGAACTCGGCAACCATAACCATTCGGCAACGGAGACCACTTGAACAAATTAAGCATGTTAATGTGTAAGTAATAGCAACTACCTGGTATATTTCTTTCAGCATCAAAATCACATTTCGGATGTTCACCATGTGTGGATGTTCCAGTAATAGGACGCCCCGAATTTTCCTCCACACACCAGCAATATCCGGTTGCGTCATGGCACTGCGCGCGACTCCACTTCCCTTCCGGTGTACACTTAGGAACAAAAATACCTGCTTTCGGGTTGTCTTTTTCTTGTTCTAAAGCAGATTCCCTGTCTGTCCGACAATCATTTGCCTCTGTTTTATGTAATTAAAATGTTTTTAATCTTCAACGGATTGCAACTTTGGAAAAACGACATGATTAAACAAAAAGAGCCATTTGAATGTATAATTTTTCCTGTAAAGGTATTTAAAACAGAATTGAAACAACAGAAGTAAGCAAACAACAGAAAAATGTAAATAATTATGTTCCAATAATAGAAAACTAAATATAACACAAGTACAAGGAATGAAAAGATTTTCTTCTGCAAAAGAGCGAAGGAAATATGAGGGTTAAAGCTTTTGATTTGTTTTTTAATTTGACGCGGATAAAGAAAGAAGCAGCTTAAAATGCGTTCATATAGATCAAATTACTTCCCTTTCCTATTAACACCAAAGCAATTTTTGTTTTTACTTTCATTGAAACCAATCCGAATTCATCCGAACATTTCTTGACAACTGTTTTTGTTTTCTTTTTTGTTCGTATTGAAATGGAAATCTTGTCGAGTTGACGCTTGTTACCATCAGTAATAACGGGCGACAACTCTTAACGGTATTTGCAATTTTAAAATTTTAAAAAAGGGAGGTAATTTGTTTCTATATGAGGAAGATTTGGTTACTGAAAGGTGGTATGCTTACGTTTATTTGGTCTGGGTTCCTTGATAGGCGTAGGACGAATGGCTTCAGTCCATGTTTTATCAACGTTGATGGGGAGCGAGGGGAAGGCCGGTCTCTCGATCTCGCCTGTAGGATACCACGTAAAACTACACTAATATTTTTTCGTTAAATGAAGTTTAAAAGCAAATGATTTTCTGGTTTATGAATTAACTTTTTTGACAATGAAATGAGACGATGACAGTTGAATTTGTAAAAAACACAGAACCCTGCACTTCACGGAACATTTGCATTGTTTTTATTTTTACTCAATCGTTCGATTAAATATCAGAACATTATGTTTTAAATCTAGGCAAAATCGAGAAACACCAGAAAGAAGCAGAAGGATAAAATTTGCGCTTGGAAGAGGAGCCCTAGTTCGGTGAGTACAATATTATTAAAAGCATCCAACAAAATATTAAAAATGCCATATAGAAAGATACATGAAGCATATTAATAAATGCAAAACCGTCTTGCTTTGAATATTTTACACTGGATAATATGTAATTTCATTAGTCAATAAAATTTGCATATAAATATTTCATTATCTTTCTCATAAGAACAAGAACATTGTCGCTAACATTACAAAGGTTTCTTTTAACGAAATTTGCACGCGTTGCAATACAGAAATGTTTGCGACCACTCTTTAACCGTCAAGGGAGACAACCCTGTTCAGTTAGAAATTAAAACAATAAAAGGCGCTTCCATACTTATACATTTGCATTAAGTATTCTTTAATTGTTAAATATAGTTGAAAATAATGCATAATAACATGTTTTTGTTGTAATATTTCACTCTTAACATTTGAACTGATTTTCACTACGGCAGACAACAGGCGGGTGTTTCTGATTACATAAGTAAAGAGGTAAAAGTGCAAAGCTCGTGAATTCATAGCTAGAAATAAGGCAAACGCAATATGAGTTCAAAATAAATATAGAATGAAATATATAAATTAAAATGCAAACAATTAATCTATCCAAATATCAGCTCTTAAATAGTGCATGCATTACTTAGAAAAAAATTTAATTCTTTCAAGTCATTTAAAGTTTGCAATTAATCAATTATTCAAAATATTGAACATAGAAGGATAAACAAAAACACAAAACAAACAAATTGAAGTGTTTGGATAGATATTTAAATATTTGAATATATACGGTGCATCAAATATAATGTTTTTTGTGAAAGATGAAGAAACACTGGCAGTACGTATTGCAAGTTCGTATATAGGAAATAGTTGAAAACTGATTTGAATGATAAAAAGCGTTATTATTTGCAAAGCATATTTTCCAAGGTATTTTATACAATAACAATATGACTTGAAACATGAAGTTATGGCCACTATTCATTAAGATGTGTATAAAATAATATCGTCTATTTATAGAAACATTTTAGGAATGATTAATATAACTGGGAATATTTTCTAGACGTGTTTAAATATTATTTTACGAATGGAGGCTCTTACAAAGATATTCCTATACACATGTTATTTCAGACTTGAAGAAGAATTAAAAAAACAAAAACATTTTTTTATTAATGTGGTATGTTTAATAATGAGAGGGTGTTACAATTGTAGGGACAACTTTGTGAAGATTTTTGTCTTAATCTCATTTTTGTTTTTGACAAATGCATTTGCAGACATTTTTCCCATATGTCAAACATAATAAGTTTGTAAAAGAAAATGTCGTCCATTGCAACGAGAAATAAGGGCATAGCAAAACGAATTTTTGTTTGGGTAATCAAGCAAAAATAGGGAAAAGACCAGTTCATAACGGACGGACGGATGGAAGGACGACCAGGTGTCTAACATTACAAGCCGAATTTCTTTTAGGCGTATGATAATAATGTATTGGAAAAAACTGTCTTGCACGTGCAAAGATTAGAGCCACAGTAAATTTATTTCAGCCATTCTTTTATAGCTTTGTTGTAAAAATTGATTGTAAACCTTCCTAATGAAATGCACAGATGTTCATAATTTCCTTGAAGTAGTAAACAAAACAAGGGAAGTGCAAAACATCCTTGTTTAGATGACAATAGACCATTGTAAATCAGTAATGAAAATTTCAACACGTATGCATGTTTCCGAACGTGGAACACTTGTTAAAATGGACTTTAATATTGCAATTATCCAAAAATAAGATGATCTTTCTGGTTAGAGTTCATATTTACAATGTTCTTAAATTGACAATCGATTGTTTTTATTTAATTTAATCAGTAAATCAAAAAAAATGTTGATGAAATTTATCAGATGTATGACTAATTCAAGATTGGCAAAGGATAGGAAAAAAACCTTGAAATCTATGACGTCACAACAACAATAACAACATATAGATAATACTCACTCTTACCCTTGTCTGACCTACCGTTGTTAGATGATGAGGATGATGATGACGAAGATGATTTCTTAGTTAGAAGCTTATTTAAGTCTAAACTTTCACCTGTTGTTTTCACTTCCGGCGCATGCGTAGTCTTGTCCTGGTCGTCTGAGTTGAGAGAGACAAACAAGCGAAAAGAAACTATATGACAGAGAGGTGAATTCATTATGTTCCAATGATTTCGCAAAACTTGTCCTTGCCTGGCCTTCACCTTAATTCACTGTTAGTCGGAAGTTTTGTGTGTGTGGGAAGTGAAATGTTATGTTACCCAACCTCACCGTGCATAATTGGTATTACACATTAATTCAGGTAAATTTCGATGCTTGACTTTAGTCACTAATCGAGAGGGATGGTTTTGAACAGTTTGTTAGAGAATTACACATCGACAGCATTGTTGTTCGTACATGTACATAGGCAATATTTAAATTATTCGGAAATACAGCTTAGACACGGTGAGTTAAGTAACACATGTTTTAAAAGATAAAAAAAAGTGTAAGGCAAAGAAGCAAAATGCTGATAGGCATTCAAAGATACATGAATATACATAGACATTAATCAAACATTTATTAGATACTTCAATACATCTTAAAAGACATCATGGTATTAAATAGTAACTCATGACATGCTTTCATGAATGACTTGTGAAAGATAAAAGCATCTGCAGCAAAAAAAATGTAGTGGGGAAAAAAGCGTGAGCGACAGAATCCGACGTTAATAATACATAAATAATTCACTTTCTTTTACATACAAAGGCACGGTCAAAATACTGTCAATGATTTAATTATTTTGTGATCTTTTCTTTACCTATTGCGAAAATACTTTTTAAAAGATTTTTTTCAACGACGCTTTTATTGGTATAGATCTTTGTGCTGTTTTATGATAAAAACTTATCGTTGAATCGTAGCATCGGATTCCGTCCTAATGACGTCATAAAGCCAAGATGTTGACGCAAGTGTGGCTAGGAAGTTTGGGGCTGTCACGTGTTTATAGACCAAGCAAGGCAATTTTTGCGTCACTAGAACAGGTTAAAATCATAACATTCTAAAATATAAGGGAAATTTGACAGAACTTAGCTATTTTGAATCATCTCTTAAAAAAAACAAATGCCTTAACCTTAGATATACAGAATACATGTAAACTTCTTAACAATTCTTTAAATATTTTACACTCATAATTTACTGTAAAATAAAATCTAAAAAATACAAAACCTTTTTTAGATAAATTGGTTGACTTTCAACTTTTTTCCTTATCAATTTCATTTGAATGTTTTGTTATTCCTTTTTCTTTTATTCATTTTTTTAGCCAAGTGATAGTCACAAAAATAAAATAGGCACACCTAACATTTTGACATCAAAAGAAATTATTTTACAGTAAACACTCCACAATTCATGCATATCAACTGCCAAACATCCCTTTCTGTTTGTTGGAATATAAGTTCTGGGTTAAGACACCATCACCAGAGGGATTATAAGAAATACAAGCTTTTATAACAGCATGAGTAGTGACGTCATTCACGTGAATGACGTCAAGTATATATATGATACATTAAAATGAATTCAAGGCTTAAAAGCTACTCGCTTAAAATTTTTGGATGAAATTTTGAAAATAATTTCTTACTTTTAGAAATTTGTAATTGATTGCATCGTTTTACTGGAAAGACTTTACTACAAAAAACTGTGAAAATTGAGTTTTTAAGATTGTCCAAAAGTGTCCATCCAAAAAGGCAATCGTTCGTATTTCACACGAGAATTCAATTTCTGATTATATCAAATGTGTGTTAAGAAATATGCTTAAAAAGCGAGTAGCCTTAAATGACCCAGTGAGACCTCGTTCTAGATACCAAAGTCTAATGTTTATAATTGAATAGTGTTAAGCCCATTATGGTGTCTCGATTGTCCTTTGTATATTGAGCTAAACCAACGTCTTCGGCTTACAACCATGAGCAAAGGCCAGATTCGTTGTAAAACATAATTATCAGGTTTTGCTTACAATTTGGGCTGATATTGCCAAAATGCAAAAAAGCTTACATACAATTATATAGAATTACCCAGACATAAACAGATCTATCTCTATCTAGATATCGTCACCTTAATGTAGTAATGGGTTAGCTCCTATGAAATTATATAAGGAGTAAACCCGTTACTGCACTAAGGTGTTGATATGTTAAATGTTTCCACTGATGTGTTTTTGGACATGATGAGACTGGAAAAACTTTTCTTCAAGATAATAACTTGTGTGCAAAAATTCAAATTATTTGCTCACTCTTTTTTTTTAAATAATTATTCTAAAAATGTTGCAACGCTTTTCAATATAACGGGTTAAGAATAGCACAAAAATACGATTTAAGATTTATTTCTTAAAATATTTCTTCATAATCATTTGCATTCCTTTCATTTTTTCGAGAGCCCCAGTTGATATATTTAAGATATTCAAATTTTGGAGTTCCTGATTAAGTAAATACGTATTGTAGGGTGCTGTAGATTAGACATGTGTTAAACCGGCTAAGTTTTGAACAAGACAAAATACACACGGCAGTCTGAAGGACAGCTAAACCCCCTTCCGCAGTCAAGAATATGTACTTTTTGACCTTTTACCAACCATGACCTTGATGTTGTGCATATCATAAGCACATAGTCTCACGATGGTGATTATTTGTGTCAAGTTATTTAAAATCTTCCACAAAGTCAAAAAGTTATGGAGAACATATCATTTTGATCTTTGGGGTAGCAACCTGGAGTTTGAGCTCTGAATATTGTGTCATGGAGGGGGTCATTTGTGCCAAGACATTTTAAAACCTTTGAACTGTCAATAAGTTATAGAGCGGACATGAAAAATAGATGTTTTTCCTTGGATCTTTGAGTGTGACCCTGACCTTGTGTGGGTTGTGACTTGATTATTGTGCTCTACCAATGGTGTCATAATAGGGATCATTTAGAACTGCCAAGTTATCTTAAAAACATTGCAGCTCTTTAAATGTTATGGACAGACACGAAATGTACACTGTCTAACATTTGACCTGTAAGTGTGACCTTGACATTGGGGGTAGCAATTCAATAATTGCGCTCTGCACATCGTCTCATAAAGATTGAAAATTAAGCAATTTAAAAGTTATGGAGCGGACACGACATAAGAAGAAACTAATTTAACATAGTTGTAGTTAAAGTTAAATATATACCAACGATTAACTGATCACTAGTTTGTTTCTAAAACCTGGGAAGACCGTTCAAAGGATGTTGTAAAGCACGCAGTCTTTGTTAGAATTTAGGAAAATGAATAACGAAAAATATGGTTGTACTTATAAAAAACATACAGACAATGTTTTAATATACAACGAAACATGCCTTTACCATTTGTATAGTGAATTTAAGTTACGTAATTTATTTTCTGTAATAGACCAACTGTTTAAAGTAAGTGCACCCTCCTTAAATAAAGATAGAGATAGAAATGCTCGTTACTGTACGGTTGTTACGTGTCTTTTCATTGGTTAATCGTTAATATAATCTGTATACGCGGCTGGTGTCGAATTATGAGAAAATTGTCGTTTTTCTTTCATAAAAGTGATTGTGCTGTATTACAAATTTGTGATAAAAATGTCTCTTTGTGTTATATGGCCATGCATAAACGGTTGTTTACCAATATAACCATCGCACAACGAATCAGGTTATATGAGCTTAAAACCATATATACGGAGCCATATAGCCTGTCAGACATCTTTATTACTTATAATATACATTTATACAGCAATTAATTTAGAAGAAGAGAACGATTTTGAATGAATATGTATCGGATATGATAATTGAAAATGATATAATAATGAAAACAGTATGAAAACAATAATGAAAAAGGGGACAAGAAAAACTCATGCTTTTAAAAAATTTCATATATTAACCCTTAACCAGCTGATTTGTTTAATGTATTTCCCCTACTTTGAATTTGGAACAGTCCAATATCGGTTCCGGCAGGTTAAGGGTTAAGCTAGTTATCCTTAGATACGTATTTTAATCAAAAGTGTTACTAACGGTTCTGCCATCCAATTAATCATTTACCAATAAGGCAAAGAAATTGTCGGCCTTTATCTGCTTCATCTTTTTTTCATTTATTATTTTCCTTTCCCATATTTAACGAAATATTTTAAGTAATTTTTCTTAGCGATAAGCTTAAAGGTCCTTTTACAGAATTGCCTCAACCAGGTGATGTGAATTATTAAATGTCAAGGCAAACAATGTAAGAACTTATATTGCATTTAAACATATATAAAACATTTAAACACAGAACAGCTGCCAAATAGCTGTTCTATGATATAAATTCTAGGATAACTGTACATCGAGTCTATTTTTAAATTTTGTTCTTTAATTGATTGTTTTATTTTATAAAAATGTGAACAATTTAATTCGAATAATGTTACAATTACAAAATTTTCCGAGCGTAAAATACGCATGTCTTTATTATGGAACATTTCTTGAAGTATTTCGAATAAGAAATGTTTTGATTGATATTTTCAATGTACAGTAATCCTTTCAATTTACGAAACAGTAATTTATTTTTAGAAACAATTACGTAACGTTGCGCTCGTGACTTATTCTATTTATATCAACCAATCATTGATTATTATACTCACTATTTATATCCACACCAAGGCAGATCGACCACTCCTGTCTCTTTATAAGCTTATCTTTATCCTTGTCACAGAATTTTAAAAAACGTTTTGCACAACTTCTAGGTTTAATAAACTTTTTAACTAAGCGTCTAAGCGCACTAACTTCTTTACGTTGTAGGAGATCGTCGTTATTACTGTCATAATGTGAAAATTTCCATTCCACAACTTGTTTTTCTAAAGGTTCCATTAGTGGATCCAACTCGTCTGAAATAAAAAGATGACAAATTATATATAATTTAACAAAAAGTATAGTGACAAGTTATGACGTTGATTGTGACGTCACGGATTTGGACTGTTGTTTCACATGTTTTTGACTCTTCTACGCACAGTCCTACTGGTCAAAAGTGAAAAATGCTGAGGTAGATCTTACAATGTTTTTATTTCGTTTGAAGATAGCTTACTAACAAACTCTTTCAACCACGATATTAGGGTTTTAGTATGATATCCAATCTAATTTTTTGCGAAGACGCCGCCATCAGGCCTTGGGTATATGATATAAAGTGATTTCACTGCCGTATTAACACAACTACAAATCCATAATATCACCATATTCCTGTTTTGAATGCAGAAGACTGCTTAAGCCGGCGCTAGGGGGCGTGGAGTCTAAATCAAACCGAGACAGTGACTGAAACATTTTCAAATTTGACGTTGGCTTTCTTTAAGGAAACCATTTTCTCTATTGTATATACATTAATTATACATTGTATTATAATATCTTATGTAAGTCCTACTTGCAAGTCCCTGCCATAGAACTGGGAATGTATGACGCATGTACTGTAAGAAAACAATTATCTATCAATCAGTTATTAGGCTAGACAGTCTTATAAACCTAGATTATAAGAAATAAAAATTTCAAATTCCAAGACTTGAAAATCAAAAGAATTAAACCAAATTCTCATTATGGGGCAAAAAACTGGCCATAACAGCGGCGTGATATTGCAAAGATTACTTTTGCCACAGCATGTTATCTTTCTGCTTTTCAATTATAATGCAGATATTGCATATGGTTTGGTGCAAAGCATTAGTTACGAACGAAATGCTCAACTTTGAATGGGAAATGACATCAAACTTGCAGGAGATGATTTATGTACAAAGCTGTTTTATGGCTAAGTGTATTAAATAACAGCGGTTGAAGACTACCTTAGCTTATCTACCCATTGTACCAAGTGTTTTTCACAAAATGATAGTTTTCACGCAGCGCCGATCTCCATTTTCATTCTCGTAATACAAGGAAGGTAAATGCTTATCATGCAGTAAAACAGTATGGTTTGTATGCGAAAGAAAGCGTTAATGACGATTATGAACATTATTTTCCCCATAACATCCCTATGTTAAAAGACTTTAGAGCTTGGAACACCGACGTAGCAGCAATTTGCTGATAACCGAAAAGTAGGCCGTTCTATAGATACGTGACAGTTTACAGGAAAAGGATCGAAGCTTTGGAGACTTTTCTATTGAAAAGTTAAATACATGTACACATGTAGTATACCCATATAGGGGTTTCCTATTGTGACTACAGAAAACGTGTTTGAAACAAAAGGGAATGAACATCTAAACACTCGATAATCTGGCTACGCCCTTCGTACGCTTTTTCTAACACTCACGTCACCAATTCATTTGAATTGGTTAAATTAATCAATCATTAATGACTTGATGTTCATGAAGTTTAAATTTACCCAATATATAGAAAAGTACATTTTTGGTTAAAAATATTGTTAAATTATTTAAAGGTCGATAGATACCTTTGTTAACAGATTTGTTAGGCCATAATTTCTTTGATTAACTTAAACATGCAAATGTTGCAGAACGTCATATTGTTACATCATTCTGCATACGTCTACACCAACGCAGAAAAAAAGCAAAATGTAAATGTTTACTAACTGAAGTCAGTTTGTTACTTTATGCAAATGAAAACAGTGTGTTAATTCGATAATATGTTTTCTGGAGAAATACTTGTCATATTTAGGGAAGTGCAAGGAAATAGCAGTGTCTGTTAATATAATATTGTGTCTGCTAATATTCAGTTAACAGGTTCCTATGTTTGATTTATGAATGAAAATAAAAATACATCGTTATATATTACAGTATTGACGCATCTGATTTAATGCGCAAGGTAACTTGGACTAAAAAGCAATGTAAAGTACGAGTACATCATTATTTAAAATTTAATTAGTGATATTATGAATTAATTCCATATACACATGAACTATATTTTAATACCACCCTATGTCTTATTGGCTGACGTTTAAACGGTATTCTTTAAAATAATAAAGGCTAAAACGTTATATTAGAATGTATGTACGTTGTAGAATATACGTATCTCAGTATAAATCAAAATAGAAAGAATGCTATTTGAGCGAATGGCGCATGCGCAAAAATCGCTGAATATTTTTCAAAATTGCAGTAAATTATTACATTAGGGAACGTTTTATATTATTTCTCGCAACCCTCTTAGCGTATAACCATATGGCTGTAAAAAACTAGGTGATTGGAATGTTAACTAGTATATTTCTCAATTATTTCAGCTTTCGTACTGTATCATGTATTTCATCGTCACATTTAGTTGGCCAGAACTTATATAGAGGCCGGAGCAAGTCTTCTAATAAATAAGAATATTTAAAAAAATATTATTTATTATTATTATAATAATATATTATAAATACTTACTTGGTCTGGTATTTGGAAAAGCCTTTACGGACCTATTGTATTCTTCAGTAAACACTCTTACTAAATTAGAATTAAACTTTTTCCTTTCATGACTAGAACATCCTGAAAAACAACCGGCAAAAATGTCATTAAGGTAGAAAGATTATTGTGTAAATAAATAAATGCAAAATATTACCACCAACAACAACCGAGAAATACGTAGTTCGTGTAATAAAAATAAACATTTTTTCGCAATTTTTCTATAAATGCGAATTGCTTCGCTATCGAAAATAATAAAAGGAAAAACATAATGAAATTAATATATCTTTGTAGATGATTATGATAGAAATATCCTGAAATTCCATGCAATGCTTATCAAAATTTGTTATGCGTTACTAACGCTTTTAAGTTTTTATACACTTATGTAAACTTCACCCATCATTTGAATACTTATGGATATTCGCGTGTTTTGATAGGTGGTATATTTATTCTTATTTTCTAACGTCGTTTTACATTGTATAACTGATAATATAAAATGTTACATACAGACTTATTAATTAATTTTTGGGAAATATATCATAATATTTTGAAGAAAGCCTCTTATAAGAGTGATAAATTAAGTTTTGTTTTTGCCGCTATAAACGTGGAAATGAACAGAATTTGACAAAAATATACACATGAATTTAAACAAATCAGTCATTTTATAGACGGATCAAGCGCAAAACAAATATATATTCATTTCGAACATCATCACCAAAAGAGCAATGCGAAAAAACCTGTCTTTGCAATTTACGACTCAATGGAAAAATTCTAGACAAATGATTCTAAGTATCACATAAAATGTTTAAATTGACATCTATGGCCATTCTTAGCGTTTATTTGTGGTAGATTTGCAGACGATAATGTTGTTTATCATCCGACATTGCTAGACAATGACGAACGCCAGCATTCGTTTAGGAATATTCGATTTATGAAGCACCTATTTCTGTCCAATATAATTATTTACGTCATTTTTACTGTCACAATATGATATTCTCATGACATCATACATATGAGCAGTGTCACGACAAAATCACATAGCCGATGTTTCTATATAAATACTAAATATGCGTGTTTTTCGTGCTATATAGATTAATGACGAAATGAAAATTTCTGTTTTTAGCAACACGGATGCAATACGGCCTTCACGAAGGGTTGAGTTAATTCAGATATATTTGACAATAAATAATAACTATTAAGCGTGTGTATAAAAACAAAACGTACTTTTCGATTTATTTTTTTCGGGTTTTGGGGGTTTCTTACGACCAGGTTTTCCTCCGTTATCTGGAAGTTTTGGCGGTTTGGGCGGCCGTGGATTTCTTTTCTGTTTATCTGAAACAAAGCATTATAAATGATGTATTTTACTTTAACATACATTAATATAAAACAGAGAAAAACAACCCGCAACGCCCATCCTCACCCCCGCACCCCACCAACCCAAATAAAACGACTAAAACACAAAACAAAAGATGTATGTGAACATATTTTATATATTTTATATGAAATAAGTTTAAAATAACTTTTTGCTTAATAACAACTAAAATGTCTTTTAATCTGTTAATTTTAGAGGCCAATTGAGTCTTAGAAATGCTATCATTGTTTCACAAAAACTTTTTTTTTTGTATCTTGTTACAGTTTATAAAAACATTTTCATTTGTCATATGCATAAACTATCCTTTACTGGCTTTGTTATGTTTGCAGTTGATATAATTATAGTGAATTAGTGTTTTGTATGGAAGTCAAAATACCACTTTGTTTACAATAATTTTTTATTACTACCTTTAAGACACTTTATTGCGTGTTCAGTGCATCTTCTTCAGTTGTTAAATCATCTAATATGCTCTTAATCCATTATCAAAACATTATTAAACACATGTTTGACATTTCTAAAGAATTAAAAATATGTATACAGATTTATGATTTCTGTGCCTTTAATCTAAATGCAACAAAACAATTTAAAAGTTTAAACAAAATCAACTGAAGCTTGATTCAATAAAAAAAATAAAATAAAATATCCGACCATTAATTTTTTAAACAGGTGTTTATTAAGTAATGACTGTGAAATAACTTCATGCAACTCATACAAATCATTTTCGAGTCTAATGCCAGGAACCATTACTGGCTTCATATGACAAAACATGATCTTGATTAAAAGTAGGGCTCGAACCCACGAACCCAGAGTTGAAAGAAGGTTACCTTTACAGTTAGGTCTATCATCTTTAGTAGACGTTCTCGGGAAAGGTTTCCCGTCGGATTCTACACACCAGCAGAAACCGGAAGCGCTATGACACTGAACTTCCGCATAAGTACCGTCTGCATTGCACTCTGGGATAAATACATTTTTGACGTCACCTTTGCTGACGGACGTCATGGCCTCCTCTCTTTCTTGAAAACATTTCGTCATAGGGACATCTTCATCTGAAAGAATAACGATCATTTCATACTAAAATTGGCGTAAAATATTGTTTTCTTTTCAGATAAAAGATGGTCTTCAAATGGAACAGATTTTCATCATTTGTATAAATGTTCTGTTTTCAGAAGATTATGATCCTTGTAGACGGTGTCTAAGTTTTCTTATCACATTTACTTTAATCAAAAGTTGATATTATATTTTTAAGTTTCTTAAAGTTTCTTCAATTATGAAGTAGACAAGAGTATAATAACTTTATAATTGTAAGACCGAAAGACATATGCTATACCTGTTTTTGTTCCGAATAAAAAACTATTAAAACATTTGTAATTTGTATCTTATTCCATAAAAATGCAGCCATGACAAGATCTCACAAATCACTTACAGTGCATTTATCCCTAAATTCATACATATTAAACACATGAGCCGCGTCACGACAAAACCAACATAATGGGTTTGCGACCAGCATGGATCCAGACAAGCCTGCGCATCCTCGCAGTCTGATCAGGATCCGTGCTGTTTGCTTACAGACCCTATAACAAGTAAAGAAACTGATAGCGAACAGCATGGATCCTGATCAGACTTCGCGGATGTTTGCTGGTCGCAAACCCATTATGATGGTTTTGTCGTGACGCGGCTCACATTATAATTACATGTTTATTGCAATTACATATAGAGCCTTCAATGAGTTTCGTATTTATACATATAAAATAATATGTGCGTTAATATAAGTTATATAAAACATAGAGCGTTAGATGACTTTTGTATAATAAAATTAATTTTGCATGAAAATTACATCAAATTTTGCTTTTACATTTATTGACTTCAGTGATGTTTTTATTTATTTACACATGTTCAATACAATGCATTTTGCATTTGCACTTTACAATACTAGTATTATTAGCATTAGTATTATTATTATTACTAAAATTAGATTTACGATATTCAATCACAATAACAACTTTAATATAAATAATAAAAAATGATAATATTAAAGTTTTGCATTTACACAATTAAAAATCCACGCATTTTGCTTCTATGATTCTCTATTGCAATGAGCTTGACATAGGTACATTAGGAATTACAGAGTGTCTGGAGTTATGCATTTAAAATACAAAACATCTCGCATTCACACATATTTTATAAAATGTCAATACATGTCAATTTTGTATGTATAAATGTAATAAAGACTGTATTATTTTTATTATTATAAATAATAATAACAATAATAGTAATAATTGTAATAATAATAATAATAGTAAAATGACAGAAGTAATGATAAAACAACGGTAGTTATAAATTAATGGTGATAATAAAAAATTAATAATAAGATTTACAGATACCTAATACCGCAATAATAATTTAGGATAAACTATTTACAATTATAATTGTCAAAGCATGAACGCTGTGAAAAAAGTATTCTATGTTAGTTTAGCTGTGCCAATTTTTATTTCTTCTTCATTTATTGCATGCATACGTGTACTTGAAATAGTTTAAATAAAGGGTTTGACAAGTTAAAGTACTTCTGGTTTTTCGTGTTTGTATCAAAGTAAAGTGCATTATCATTAAACTTCATAAAAATAAGATATAAAAATGTCATAGTCATAGAATTACATACGCCATCTTTGTGAATTTTCTCCTGTGAAATTTTATGTGAGGAAATAAGGAGAAAAAAACATTGTTTATATTATTGAGAACTATGAATATGACGCAATAGATAGGTGTTGAATGCAGTAAACGCTACCAAAATATAATAACGCGGTGCTTTTCTATTGTTAAAATTTTACGACAATGCCCATATTTTACGACAACCCCAAAACGCTTGGTATCCACAATTTTTTTCCGTACGGCCATTATATCATTTTTGAAACACCTGTGCCGGTTTTTTCTCCAAACACCTGACTAATCCATTGAACACGCTACATAGCAAATCAAAGTAATCTCTTATGTTACCCACTCACACATACTTGAGTCTTATTTGTTCATCATTGTAGGTGGTGTCAGCAGACCTGATTACACCGTGCAGGTGTTGCTGAAATGTTAACGGGGTTATTTAGCCGGTAGACTTTTCAGAAGTGCGATTGTAATAAATTTAATTTACTGAATAATTTTAAAGTTCGACAGTTTATTTATCTTTAAAGTCATGATCTGTGCGAAATTGGGCGTTTTTTGCCTCTTGTACGTGCTAAACCTTGCCTCAAATCGATTCCCGTATTAATGTCGGTACGTGCATATGAATAATTTCACATGTTATAAATTAAATTGATTGTATAAAAAGTAACATTTTTATTAATAAGATGTAATATGTATCAGTAATCATATAAAAGGATCAGCATTAAAATATTGGTTATTATGTATAAAAAATTGTCTTTAAACTTATTACTTTAAATGTCAGTCTTCTTGTAAAATTAATCTGAGAGACAGAGAAATAATATGGTATTATAGCAACGATGTGTGCATCGTTGTCAGTGTAACCATGGCTCTAAGTTGGGAACAACAAATGCTTCCGCATGAATAAGAGAAAATAATATAAAAATACAACTGCAACGATTCGTCCCTTTCGCTTTTTAGATATTTTGTTAAAGAAAAATCAAATGCCCTAAGTTAAGCATACATTTCCCATGGGAAAAGACGGAATCTCTTTTCCTTTTGGGAAAAAACAGCACCAATCCCTGCCCACGCTACCGTCTACTCTATAGATGTTTTAGTGTTTTAGAAGTATATTTATATAATTATATAAATATAAAGCACCTAATGCCAATAGCTAGTGATCTCTTTTTCACAAAAAAGGTACAAAAAAGTACCAGAAATGTTGGGTACTTGAAACGAAGAATTAAGTAATCTACTTTTGCAATCCATTAAAAAATACTAATGGGAAATTTTATTTTATGGTTATATCGATTAACAAATAAAAACACGAATTTCATAGACAAAATTTATAGTTTTGCGTACAAAATCCCCTCTTTTCAGAAACCTGTAGACTTATCTACAACAGAGTTGGAACTGTTAAAATTCTTATCATGTTAAATGATTATTTCTGTTTTTTCTTTCGCTAGAAATATATACGCGTAGGCATGTAAACAAAATGTTTTTTCTTTGCTTTTCAAGTATGCTGGCATGTTTTAAGAACGTTTTACATCAGACAATCTTAAGATTTGCGCACTGCAAGAAATTAATCTAAAATTCTACAAACAATTATTATGCACTTTCAGAGATAAGGGCTACAATAAAAAGAGGTGTTTACACTTAACTCAATAAACGCTTTAAAAAATGAATAGATAAATAATAATAAAATAACCCCATGAACCACCAATCTCTCCTCCCAACAAAAAATATATTTCTGTGTCAGACGAAATGACTTTCATACCTTTTTTAGTTTCTGAAAATTGCCACACTTAACCGCCGAGTATCATAACGATTAAGTTTGGGAAAGGAATGTTCTGCATTTATTAATTACCCGATTCAAACAAGGTAGATTTCTTTTATCAAACGTTTAACACATTACCTTTTTTTAAAATAAATAGTATTGTCAGGTGTTCACACTAGAAGGCACTCCATAAATACAAATTAAAATTACTACATACTAACTAGCTGCCATTACTTTATTTACTTTAGATAAGAACGGTTTAATTGATTAGCATTAAGAATAACAGTTTAGCTAAAATAGATGGCCGTAAACTTAAGCCGTTTTGTGCACATAGCTTTAGAGACGATAACGATAGATCGACAGCAGAAGTCGCAAATATCTAAATCAAAGTCTCCAAGACGCATTAGCTTTTGATGGATTGTCCCCACCCACAGGAAAATAAACATCGCAATTGCTGTTACTAGGCATTTGGTATGCATTGAAGCACGCGCGTGCATTGCAAGCCGTGTATCTTGATCAAAACATGCAAGACATGCGACGGGAAATTATCAGACATTCTACACCTAATCTTAAGTATCTTGCACGAGAATCTTGGGAATGTGCTAACACACGAGTGACATGTGCATCGCTTGTCTCGTGAACGTGGAAACAGATTATACGAATTAAGGGAATTATACCTACAGAAATTCGTGTGATTTATTGTTCCTCAAAATAACACCTTATCTCTGAATGCGATAATCTGCCTGAAACTCGTGTAAGTTCGTGCACGTGCCACTACTACTCAACACTGAGCTAACATACACACCAATAATACAGAAAGATTAAGTTGATAAATATGAATAACGTTTGTAAATACATTTTAGTGAATGCAAAGAACTAACAGATAAAAATCTACACGAAATGGCAATTTGCAACACATAGAAATTGTTATGACCTAATGTGCGGCAATTTTTCGTTCTTTTCGCAACTGTTTCATGTTTCAAAAGCAACGCAAAACACTTTGGCATAAAGAGATGGTTCTTTTTTTGGGCCTAAAAAGATAATTTGTTTTCCGCCACAAAAAAGAAACAACAAAGACTTTAAGGAATATATCTGTCCCTTTGACAGTTGAAAAAACATCTGACAGTTTCCGTACTTAAGTATTTTTCATTTAATTAAATAATTAACAATAATTAACTTTTCTCGTCTATTTAAAGAATTCTCCATGACAGCTAGACGTGTCATAAATGTCATATCATAATATCATGACGGGGATCTTACAATCCCATCAAAGCATGTTACGCTCCTTGGGGGAAAAAATCCTTACAAAAAACTTGAGGTTTAATTTTGTATAATTTCGCCGTATTTCGCATTATTCCCCGTATTTCACATATATTTACATAATTATTATATAAAACTTCACTAAAATAAACAATACCACTCTTTTCATTGACGTGCAAATGAAATATAATTTTTTAGGATAGATATATAATAAATATAAATATAATATTTGCAGAGGAAAAAATGACTCATAAATTTACTTGTTTTGCTAATAATTTCTTTTAATAAATGAGAAACTGCTCCTAGTTTCACATTAATTAATTTTCCTATTGTTTTCGCCATTATTACGAGTGCAAATGCATTTAGCATAGATATTTATTATTTACCTCAATGAGTTCATATCAATAAGTATTGTTGTTTTATTAAGATAGTTAACAAACTAGTTTTTTTTTCAATTAACAAGATTCAAGAATATTTATTAGTTTTAGTATTGTCAATTATCCAGATGTAGAAACAGTGTTTTATTATTGCGCAGATTATCAATTTCATGATGATGATTGCTAATCATTTGCATGTGATAGTAACATAAACACAACGATATACAGTCATGAAAACTGTTCTAAAAGCAACACTTTGTTATCTCACATCGGAATAAATTGTACGCTCTTACACCATTTCAAGTAAAATATATACCATTTCAGTTTAACAATATATACCATTTACCAATTAAACAATTAAACTTTATCAACCATTTTAATTAAATTATATACAACTTAAGTTCAAATACATACCATTTTAATAAAATTGTTATATACCATTTCAGTTTAACTATATACCATTTCAATTAAATCATTTAAACTTACATGTACCATTTTAGGCTATATTTTAGGCTATATACCATTTAAACTAAACTATATACCATTTTAATTATTATTTTAATCAAACTATATTTTCCATTTCTATAAAACCATTTTATACTTGGACTACAATTACTATTTCATATCATTTAAGTTGAACTATAAGTATATGTACCGTTTCAATTAAACTACATACTATTTCTATTAAATTGTATAATATTTCAATAATACAATTTTTACCATTTCTGTTGCCTATATACCATTGTGATTTAGCAACAGGTGATGATCAAACAGGTTTCATTTTAATTAAACTAAATGTGTTTACCATCTCAATTAAATTATTTAACCATCTTAATTGCACTATTTACCCTTCAACTGGACTTTATACTGTTTATAAATCAATTTGTATTAAAAGTAAGTTAAACGTCTATGATTATATAAATTTTCAAATATCAACGGTCATAATTGTCCATATCCCACATGTGTTGTTGTATATGCAAACATATCGTGCAAATGTATAAACATATAATTATCCGAAATATATCGTCACCTGAGTGCAATAACGGGTTAACTCTTATTGAATTTTAATAGGAATTAACCCATTATTGCACTCAAGTGACGACAAAACCAGTTCATACCTGCATGTCAGCCCGCATAGCTCAATCGGTTAGAGTGCGAGACTTGTGGGTTCGATTCTCGGGTTGGCCAACTAGACTTTAAATAAAGGTCCCGTGTATGAGTACTTAAACACTTGGCATTTTAAAGAAGCAAAATAAACAAAAGAAAAATCAAAACAGCAATTTATTGTTTCGATGCATTGGCAATGGTATATCTATAATATACATGTATATTATATTTTTTTGTTTCAAACAACGAGAAAGACAAGGGACTAGTTAGTCGCTTGTTCTTATATTCGAGTGTGTACCGTATTTCTCGGAAAATACTATGAAAAATGGCTATACTCGAATGCTTTCGACAATAATAATTCAGGTTGTGTTTTTAATTTTTTATATACTGTGGGTAGCTTGTATAGTCGCGGCTACTCTGCACCTTATCTCGTTAAAATCAGTTGAGTACACAAAGTTTGAAAAAAATGTGCGTGTTCCTTACGTGGTGTAACTACTTTCAATCCGTATTAATTCCGAGGTTATTATAGATAATAGCCGTGACGTTCCGATTTATCGCCACACGATATACTTGAAAAGTCCGGTGCTATTTAAAAATTGACAGTTAGCTTTTAATTTAGTATTAAAGTACTATAAACATACTTTTTAGCGTTTCTTAAAAATGCTTTTGATTTTTTAGTTTTCTGTTTTAATTTCATAAAGTGGCTGATCGGTCGTTTCCATCTTTTGCGTCTGTTAATTTTTAGAAATTTAATTGTGATAGTTATTTAGTATTTTGTTTAAAAGTCAAATACAACTTTGTTGACATTTTTGGTTAATAATTTTACATTCACCGCTTCAAGTCATAAGCGGCTGCATGCTTTAAAATAGTTATTTAAACGTTATAAAACCCGTGTTCGCTCTGGTAAAAAGAAACTCGCTTCTGAGACATAATGTGCCTTTAGCATTCAGTTCAGACCCGGCATTAAGGGTGGAACCGTGGCGTGACATAGTATTTTAAGGGGTGAATCGAGTTCAGAAAATATATGCTGTATTTCTCACTAAAATGTACTTTGAATGACATAAAAAAAATATTTATCCGTTTTATAATAATCATGTAAATTTATCCGTTTGATAATAGTCATGTAAATTCCATCAATACTTTTAGTACTTTGATTTCATATGTGACGTAAAAGCGCGCACTGGCTAGACTGTGTCTCGCGTGAATTATTGTCTACGACAAAGGCTGCGACGTCGCAGAAACACAACGTCTGCGACACGTTTCATAAAACGGTCGTACGACATTGTCGCAGACGTACGACACCGACAAAAAATTGTCGTAGACTACGACACGTTGATAAAATGGCCCCCAGAAGAAGCTTCTGGAATTGGGGCATCTTTCTGTATCTGTATCTTTGCACGATCCTCCAATACATAAAATGACTAATACTCTTATGGTGGACGCGCCAAAATGGGCAACCGGTGAAGAGTATAAATAAACTCAAATAAACCAAATCATACCTGCACATTTCCCCTTCCATCTGATGACGACGTTTTTGCCCTCGCATCTTCGTGCTCGTTTTACTTCGCATTTGGAATGGTATGATACTCCGTCAGATCCGCACATTATTCTGGGTCTCCGACTTTTACATTTGACCTTGCACTCACTGTCACGTAACGCCCGAAATAAAACCTGCAAACAGAAACAAGATATATCAATCACCCATTTTCCTTCATGCACTCATTTTATGATCAAAATACCCTGTTAATAGAATACCCCTCCACCCAAAGTAAAACAATAAGAAATCGTGCAAAAAAACGTAAATAACGATTATATCATCGGTTTCATATAACTTTACTTTTGCAATAAGTACATTGTCAATTTCATACTTCACATGCACATTTTTATTTCAAAGAAAGTGCACATTTTTATTTCAAAAGACAGAAACACGAAAACATAAACATACATAATTTCACTTAAAATTTATTATCTTTGTTTCCCTATTCAAAGGTCTAGAATATATAACTTAAATCGTATTAAGGTACACATATTATTAATTTTGAGAACACTTAATTCCAATTTGACCCATAATTTGCTCGAACCAAAAGTTATTAGTCTTTTAAAACCTTTCATGAAGTCTAACCAAGCTGATAAACTTTTTGAACATATTGATATGTAAAATATATCCCAAAAATGATAATGGGCAAAAAAATGATGCTAGACAAGTTCATTAAAAATGAACAAGTAAATGTGAAATTTTTTTTAGTATTTAAGTAAAAACTAATCATTTCTGATAAATATCTGATAAATATTGTATTTCATCATTTACTATCAAAGAATTAGACTTTGTGTAACTGTTGGAGCTTTGCTGTAAATAAATTACATGGAAATTCGTGGTGTCAATATTTTCGAAATGCGATATCACAATTACTTACAAATATTTTTGTTTTAGCCATTGCAAACAACGAGGAGGTAAAGAAGAAAAGACGGAAAAAATCACTTTGTGCAATAAGTGCTTCATAAAAAAGGAATACGCATCCTCTTTTTTCTTGGTAAAAAGCCATGTTGTTTTCGGAAACAAACACACTTTGTTGTCTTTTATTTCTGAATAGGGATACGAAAATGTGATACTTTCTAACACCTACTTTTATTAAAGCTCTGTTATCAACATGAAACCCTTACGTATACCGTTTCATACTTAAAAGTACATCGTCATAAAACAGCTATGAAAACATCTTTACATGTTTGATTATAAACACATTACAAGAACACAAACACGTTGTTAATTTAATACTGGGGATGGGGGATTATCATAGTTGTGACGAACAAGCACATGTTATTTCTATATACAGTGTATATTATTTCATCATGATGGATATAATAAATTCATTACAGGCTAGGTTATGTTTTATGAGGGAATAAAATTAATATTCACTTTTTTTCTCAAACATTACGAGGCAAAATTGTGAGGGTACATCGTTTGCTTTTGAAGCAACAAGATTGGCTGCCCATCAAACGCTGCACACCTGTTGAATTAACCTGCCTGTATATAATAATGAATTTTACCATATTTCAATTATGCGCTAACAGAACATCGTAAAGTTAATTGTGCATAAGATGTTCAGTGTTTTGATGAAACGATAGATGGGTTAAAGCGATACGAGGAAATAACGTACCATCTGTTCGTATCATACTTTCTTTCCACATACACATTTATTAAAGCTTTTGGATACACTTAATTAAATTCTATTAGATATTGATCAACAAGGCACGTGATAGATAAATCATACGTAAAAAATTCAACCAAACTACTGATAATTCCGCCAAATGTATCAAAGTTTACGTGAGTTCCAAATTTCACTCCAAAACTACATGTTTCGTATGTATATAAATGTATTTCAAAGTTTTATAAATGTGCTGATTATGTACATAGTGAAGGAGAATGAAGCAAAGTGCAATACAAAGATGTCTTTTCTTAGCGTTATATTCTTCTAATTGAAAACGAAAACTGCAACTTTTAAGCATTTATTGCAATAGTTGTTGTACCTTTTTAATTAATAGGAATTCTGCAGTACATCTTTCATACCAGGACTTCGGAACAAGTTTATACCATTCATGTATATTTTATCAATAAAAAATGGTCTTGTCTCTAGAAAAAGGGAATAGATTTATAAATATGCCTATATAAATATATTGTTAAAGTTAAGCCCTTATGACCAATATTTTTCTTTATTGCAAACTGTTGATGCATTCTTATGAAATAAATGTCAATAACTTATTTCCCTTAAATATATCTATGTACAATATATACAATGTGTATATACTTTCGCTTTTATAGATTACGGAGTAATAAAATTAATTCAAATACAGTAGTCATATTTAATATTCGAGTACGACACCTGTTGAGAGGCGACCTTTTCTTATCTCCACTGAAATCCTGGCATGAAGCCCTCTTATACCAGATATAGACTGGTGCTTGAACATTTCTTATTTTGTTACCGAGTTGGTTTTTCATTCTTCAAGTACCCGTCTATATTGTAATCTAACACCTGGCCACATTTACATTAGAGTAAAGTAAACACGACTTGAGTATGTCCATATTGTTGCACAGTCATTCTTGTTACTGAACTTAATTGCTATATTAGATATATAACCATCTGAATTCGATTGTAGCGGTTGAGAAAAAAAAAACATTTAGTTTTATTCATTCAAATAGAAGTAAAAAGTTTCATTCTATAAAAAAGCGTATACATTGTAAATACATTATTATTTTTGCTTATAAGGTTATTGAGTAAACCAGATTTGACATCTATTTGATACAGAAACTAGAGAAAGAATTCAATATCTACTTATATATATATATCTAGAACATAAATATGAATAAATTTTTCAAAGTTTTCTTCGATAACTTGATAATGTTTAAAATGTTAATATCTTAATTGTCATTGAATGAGAAAATAATTTAAGATATATGCAGAATGGAACATGATAAAGAGTACAGTAATACCACAAATATCCCCAGTGTAATTATCATCAGTGAGGGAATAAAATTATCATCACTGATAATTATGTTTGGCCATTTCTATAGTTTCCTTTTAAATCCATCCACATCTGTCTTCCGTGTATATAGTAAGTCAAGATTGATGCGAAATAAAGTACAAATATTTATGATATATATCAACTGATGATGTAATATATTATGCTTTATGACAAAACGTCCATGCACGAGATTCTTGTGCAGTTTTTACGTGAACACCGCCTGCTGCGAGGACCAATCAGAAGTTGATATAATTGCATTAATAATTGATAACGAGTCGTATAATATTATTAAAATTTCAAGTACATTTGCATTTAAAAAGAAATTGCGTTTTTCAATGCAATTGTTACAAATGGCTCTGATATACTCATATTAATCTTATGATTATGCCAATTATCTGCTACCATTAATTTAAAATAGAAACCATTGAAAACCGAGTATTAAATGTTACACACTACACCTTACGTAAGAAGTGTCCGCTCCGTCACTTCTGAAGATTTACGGGAAATAACTGATTTAAATTCTGAAAATTGTTTTGCAAAGTAATGATGACTATGGGGGTTGTATCATGCTTTTAGATGCGTGCGTTTAGCCTGTAATTTACCACCCAATTTAAATGCGTGAAGAGTTATTTTGATAAATTGTCCTTTTCATGGTATTTTAAGAAAAACTATAAGAGTTTTATTATTCTATTGAAAGCCTTTGCATGCTTCACATTCTTAACATAAGGTGAAGATTACTTTCCCCATATAAAGATAACTGCATGCAATTTATAAATTGTAAAAAATGCACTTTAAAATCCAGGCTTAAATCTTGTAACAGCGTAGAAAACAAGCACGTGGTGCTTCTTTTTACCGGAACACCGCCTGCTGGGAGGACCAATCAGTAGTCGTTATAAATGCATTAAGAATTGATAATGAAAACGCACGTGGTGATGTAATTATACCATTTTAATTACGTCTTTATCTATATCTTAATAAGATTACATGATCTGAATGATTATTTACGGTTCCGAGATGTTAATAATAGAGATATATAATACATGCAAATTAGTAATGATATAATACTAAAAAACGGTATTCTATACAGTGTATGATTAACATAGATTAATACTTTTAGGTGACTGTAAAGGTTTTATTAGATTCACAAAAAATCTTTTTATTTGTATGGACCTTCTTTAGAGACTATCTGTTAAAAGCATTATTAAGCTCCAGAAATGCATCTGTTTTTATTTCTCAAAAGCTTTTTATTTTTTTGTACTTTTATAGTTACTTAAATGTTACTCATTGGCCAATTACATTAACCATCTTTTTCTTCTGTTGTTCTTTGGCAATTAATACAGTTATGAAGATATAGAATTTTGTATGGAAGTCAAAACCTATTTCGTTTACATGACATATTATTTCAAATTTAGTGCTCCTTTCTTCAGACAAAAGCATTTTACATGCCCTAAAACCAGTATTTAAAGGTTACTAAATTGATGTTTGCCATTTCTAAAGAAATCAAATTTTATTCGTTTCTGATGCATAATGTGTCTTTAGTTAAAAGCTATAGCGTTCTGTCTAATTGTGTTAATAAACAGCAACAGCATTTCGTTGAGCAATATAAAATATTCTAACAACAAAAAGATCTAAATATAGCAAGATAAGCAAAATACATACTTTAAACCATTCATCATAATAAAACAAATAACTAAGGAATACTTCATCAAGAATATCTTTCTGTGTGTAAGCAAATATTTCTAACTTTTTTTACTCAGAGCCTTCGGCTTATAATATAATTATTTAGATATTTGATATATTTTCATTTTATTATTCTTTTATTATCATCATCATCATATTATTATCATCATTATTATTATTATTATTATTATTATTGTTTAATGTTATTATTATTATTATTATCATCATCATCATCAGTATTATTATTATTTTTAGTAACTGATTGTGAAATATATTCCATTTCATAAAATACCTTAAAACTATTTTTCTTTATTATGTACATAGTCCAAAGGATTTATATTCTATTTCAACAGATAAATTATGCAATTTAAATGACACATGAGCTATTGAATTGTTCATATCGATTGATGTATTATGAAACGGAAGAAGGAAATACTCAAGAAATGTTTTTAGATTATAACAATAGAAATTTA